ATGCACAGCGCTGATTAATAAGGGGGGCAACAGAGGAAGTAACATCTTCTGAAACCACTCACCATAACTCGCTTTTCCAGTTTGCTGTGCATGTATGTCTATTTCAAGATTGGATGTGAACATTGCTTCAAAGCACATGGTGTACATTAATTATGCAGGAAATGCTCGAGCCACTAATGGGAGGTCCAAATGATATTAATGCAATATCTCAAAAATAACATCTAAAACACATGACTTCACATCGATATTTCCAAGATGATTTATTAAACAGATCACTACATATTCAGGATTCCGTGATTGTCCTGAGAGTCAACTATCGAAAACGGATGTACACTTAATTTTGCAGCGTAAGTGATGTCTGATAGCCCTCTTTTGTCTTCATTCAGTTTAGTAACTGAGAATATACTGTATTGCCAACAACTAATTAAAAAGTTGAAGCACATCTGGATTGCCTAAAGCATGCCTTGGACACAGTTCTGGCAAACGCGTCAGTTAATACCATATTTGACAACGAAGCAGTGCAATCAATTTGTCATTTAAGTCTTTGAACATTTTTACAAATGCTTTTAATAAGATTCTGTTGAAAACACACACTTTAGTGTTCAAATGATGTGCTATTTACTATTAATTACATTAGTTTTTAAGAATATCTTTGAATGTAAACAGTATGTCTATGTGGTTATGAAGATTCCGACTTCAGCAACACGTATTTTGGTACAACTTGCATGTAAGGGATAATGGCAAACAGCCGAGGGAGGTTTCTAACTCAACGCAAGTAAAGTACAGGCACTTATCGTTTAACTGTCCATTTGTCACGACGTTTTATCAACAATGTAAAGGAAGTAAACGACCTAACGAAACAGAAGTGTAACCTGACAGATCTAACATTTTGTCGTCTGCGTTTGCAGCTATTTTTTATCTCGAAACCTTGTCATGACTTCTTATCCACCATGTTAAAGACACTTTGTCGTCTGCGGTTGCAAAGACTTCAACATTTTGTCGTCTCATTGACCATGGCGTATCGGTTCTCACAAGCATGACATTCATACACACAGGAAGTGGTCCAGTTTTAATTCTGGAAACAAGGCTGCCAAAGAGCCCACCTTTCTGGAGATTAACAATAGTAACACATTTCAATATGATGCTTCCACCGGTTCATACAAGAGCATGACAAATTTGTTTTTGGAAATTTCAATATGCTGTAGATCTGAAACGTCGTATGTGCCCTCAGATTGCTGAACGTTCATAGAACAGAATATATAGACTGCGAACATCATACATCCTTGCAAACTATCGAAGGGTTAGCTCACATCCCTTCACTACAGGTGGCATTATGGAAAGGTTAGCACAAACGCACATGACATGAATCGGTTTTCACAACACAGATTGCATTAAACAAGTCTACAGGGCATAGCAGCTAGTTCTGCTCATTGAAATACCTAATACGATTACGGCGTGAGCTAATGTTAAGTACCTGGGACAGACATTACACCACGGACGTTTTGTAACATGACAGCATGACACCTTCCCGCCTCCAGAAGGTGAGACAGATGATTATGACACGAAACAATGATCAGCATAGTCGGTGACCTTCTGGTGCAGTGAGAGCGATGGGGGACTGTGATTGCTTATAAATCTTTTCTAAGAGAAGATGTTCGACGGGGACCTGCTGCTGGGTTGCCTACTGATAATGCACCAGAGGGAAAACATTGCCTGACGGGCGATGGGGCATGAATCTTTCTGTTTATTGAACCACTGTCGGGATACTTGATTATATTGATTTAGTTATATTTTGTTGCTTTTGGAAATTTCAATATGCTTGCCATGTTTCAAGAATTTACTCAGCATGTGTTAAACAGGGAAACTAAAAAACCCAAAGAGTTTCAAATAAGCATAAATCTGAAACGGACTGCCTGGCTTGTGTGCCCACGAAAAGATCATGACTCATAAGTCAGACTGTGAAAATCGTTGCTCATGTGCAAACTGCCGACGGTTCGTTTGACATCTGACATGGAGGCATACATCTTTCCAAAGGTTCTAAAAGATGCACATGACATGAATCGATTGAATTAAACAAATCTTTAGGGGATAGACGCTAGTGCTTTTCATTAAAATCTTAATTCGATTGTGCATGACATCAAGGCATCCGTAAACGTTTTGTATAAATTTATCCTGAGTGTTGATGTTCCACAAGGACCTGACTTGACTGAAAATGTGTTTTGTTTTTGTTTGTTTTGTTGTTTGTTGTTGGTGTTGTGTTATGAGGATGTCATTTTGTTAATTATTATGTCACATTTTAGCTTTTAGTTCTTATGAGTCACAAAAAATTAATTTTAAAAGATTTCTCAAAATTGGAAAATTTGCTTCTAAACAAGGCTATCCTCGGTTATCCAATGTATGTTTTCAGCCAGATCAAAGTAATTAAGTTTTGGTTTAAACTGTTACACATGAATCAACAACGTTATCCCATACAGTGTTATAAGATGCTTAAAACTTTTGACGATATGGGCAAAATTAATTGGGTGTCAAGTGTAAGATCTATTTTATTCACAAACGGATTTTCACATGTATGGTTAAACCAAGGTGTTGGCGATGTGCAGCTATTCATCTTAACCTTCGAACAACGAATCAAAGATATAGCCTACCAGACTTGGCATAATGATATTTGCAGCTCAACGTTTCTCAGCCACTATTCACTATTTAAATATGACCTTCACTTGGAACCGTTCATCACTGAATTGAAAAACAAATACTTAATACGTGCGTACTGCAAATTTCGAATTTCCAATAACAATCTGAAGATAAACAAATTTAGATGTAAAACAGATAACCCCATAACAGGATATTTGTGCACTGTATGTAATGCATTGGAAGTTGAAGACGAGAATCATGTCTATTTTTATTGTAAATATTACGAATGTTGGCGAGAAAAATATTTTGTACAACTTTGAAAAGTGTATAAAGGTCCACTAACTTAAGAATCGATTTTCAAATCAAGAAACTGTCAGGTAATATATTTCACTGCTTTATTTCTGCATAATGTATTCCAAACAAGAGCTGGATCCATTTGACCACTTTACATCGATTTATACAACTGTAAAACTGTATTATAGGCCACTAGGCCGATATTACGCAAATAAACTGTCTGTCTGTCTGTCAAAAAAAGTTTAATGCGCTGAGCGTGGATTTGAACTCACTACCTTGAACATAGGCAACCTGTTAAGGTTGTGCTGAGGAGTTACCTCCCTTTGTTTGTTTTGCTTTCGGTGGAAGACGGTGGGATTCCAGTTATGTCTACAAGGTGGTGTGGCATAACTTTTGTTAGAATTCTCTACAACTGTATAATAGGTATATGAAGGATGGTTGCTGAGATGCATGATGTACTTTGATTTACGCTGATCTGGCTGCCAACATTGACGTTTCAAGCGACGACTCATGAGGCTTGGTCTATATTGAACTATCAACAGCTGACAGCAATCAGTATGTCTATCTACAATGATCAAGACCTCAGTGACAAGAGATATTCAGTTAATATTTTAGATTTGTGACCCAACAGTATTATATAAGAATTTTTTACTGTCATTCTTTGTAACCTTGTTTATTTAATATTTAATTGAATATTATAGACTCCTTTGTGTTATATTTTGTTGGTTTAAAAGGGACTCACAAACCGTTCATCACAGTACTTTCTAAACCGTAACAGCTGATTTTGCAGACAGTGTCTGACCAGCGATTTGGCATTGAGTCTTCTGTGTATTGAATCACTGTTATGACACTGTACGTAATAAACGTGCAAGATAGCTGAAACGTTTACATTCTACATGGCATGAATGACGTTTGATAGATGGGTTTAACAACACTTGGTGTTATGTCCATCGTGAAGGTCACTTCTGTGAGGCTCTCGAGGAAAGGAAAGTCTGAAAATCATCAACAGGAGTAACCAAGGATTAAGTTCAACTTCATATCATCAATCATCAAAAGTATGTGTATGAATCGCCATGATCACACCGGCGGCACCTGTGACAAACACAGGCAGATCGTAGATATCCCTACAAAAGACTCAGATTCTATTTTGATAAAAATATTTCTTCCGTTTGGATTATTCAAGGCAAATTCGTTGGCACGTTTGTGTTGATATTGCCAGCAAACTCTGATAAAGTAGGACCCAAGAACTCGGCGGTTGTATCGATTATCAATTGAAATCCAGGTTGCAGTATTGAATTTGTTTGTTGATCCCTTGCCTCTGGCTCTATCAGCCTCATGTGTGATGAGTGTCGCGCCCGGTAGGTTGCACCTCGCCTGAGCTCTGATTGAAAGAGTTATATCTCTAAACCAAGTCATTTGCCAGTCATAACATTTGGACACCACCATAATTGGATACTCAAAGACAGTTTTGTGAAACTTGAATGAAGAAATCTTTGCTGAACTATGTGATAATTTTCATATTTTTTCAAATTCAAGGTGTAGTCAAATCTGCCTCCATTCAGCAAACCAGAAGCTCACCAATTAGCTAGTCGACCAAGGCCAGGGAGGCTATTGTTCTTCAATCAGACCTGGACTCAGTCTGTGTACGCTTGAGTGACTTTGGCTATGAAGGGCTTGTTCCTATTGTGGCATTTGATTATCAACTTGCTCACCCTATCTCCAGATTTTCTGAAAGCCAAAAACCATGGGCAGTCAAACATAATTCCATTATCTACACTGCATGACCTTCGCCGTCTTGGCATATGTGGAGTGATAAGGACTAGACGGGGATGTCGGCGCAATCCGCATACAAACACTAAAAGTACACCTGATACTTATAAATCCCCTAAGTTTTTAACAAGGTTCATGACGTGAAGCTTGGCCTAATCAATGCTAGATCTGTGAAGCTCCATGACACATTATGTGATAAGGCTCAATCCCTATATGATCTTATCACAGAGAACAAACTGGACATTCTCACAATAACAGAAACTTGGCTACGGACCGGCGAATCCGACCACATATCAATGGCTAAAATGACTCAACCTGGCTACAAACTCACTCAAGTCGCAAGAAGGGGAAAGAAAAAAGGCGGAGGTTTAGCTGTCATATACAATGACAGACTTCAGTGCTCTCATCTGAACACTGTGTCTTTACAGACGACATTCGAACACCTTCTTGTAAAGATCTCTGCACAAGGACAGCATATGAACATATTGCTCATATACAGACCTCCAAAGACATCGAGAGATTTCTTTGACGATTTTGGCACACTATTGGACTCCCTAGATACAGCCCCGGGACGTCTCCTGATACTAGGTGACTTTAACTATCACATTGACGACAGGCAGAATACGGATGCCCAGAAATTCATGAGCTTAATTGATACTCACGGACTAGTCCAGCATGTATGTGAATCAACCCACATCAAGGGACACCTTTTAGACCAGATTATCACTCGCCAAGATGACATAGCTGTTAAGGACATTTCACTTGATTTGTCCATAAAGTCCGACCATGCTGCAGTCCTATTCAAAACAAGCATCAAAGTACCTGCACGGGAGAGAAAAGAAGTATCCTTCAGGAAATGGAAAGAAATTGACATTGATAACTTCCAGCAAGATCTTTCTACAAAACTGTCAGGCTACCAGGATCTGTCTGTATCTCAGTGTCTGAAGTTGTACAACACGGCTTCAGGATCAGCCATTGATGAGCATGCACCTCTGAAAACATGCACTGCAACAATTCATACAAATGCTCCCCGGTATGATATGGACATCAGGCAAGAAAAGAGGAAACGTCGCAAACTGGAAAAGCAGTTCAGAACAACCCAGCTCACCGTTCATCGGGAGCTTCATGATGCTGAGAGGAACTGTGTCAACGCGTTGATGGAAGCTACGAAATCCAAGTTCTTCAATCAGGCTCTACAGGAAGCAAAGGGGCAAAAGGATAACTTCATCATATCAAACAGACTCTTACACAAACAGAAGCAAGTATCTCTTCCCAGTTGTCAGGCTCCAAAAGAACTTTCAGATCGCTTCTCAGAGTTCTTCTCAGAGAAGATCACCAAAATCAGATCTGGACTCGCACAGTCCGATTATGTTTATGCTGATGAAACCCAGAGCTGCGATGCCTCTCTGCCAGTGTTTCAGCCCACCACTCAGGCTGAAGTGAGATCCCTGATCTTGAAAAGTCCGGATAAGTCAAGTCTGGTCGACCCCATGCGAACATGGTTCCTGAAGAAATCACTAGATTCAACCCTCCCACTTATCACACTCACCATCAATCTGTCTCTCTCAAAACCAAAAGTTCCTCCTGAAATGAAGGAAGCAATGATAAAACCGCTTCTGAAGAAACCAAATCTCGACAGCGAAGTGTTGAAAAACTATCGCCCAGTTTCTAATCTTTCCTACTTATCTAAACTATAGTTTGGCATGAAATGCATGTGGACCCGTTTTCTTGTAAATATCTCTTCATCCAATGACCCAATCGATCTCAAACTGTGCAAGTGGATGTTTTGTCAGACAACCTAATCACATTGTAAATCACCGATTTTATGCATTTGTATTAAAGAATCCGTCTATGTAACTGTCAACAAAATAAACAGCAGAACGCAGAAGGCTTGCAGAGGGAGGGAGCCAATGACCTGTAACAGCGGCAGTGTTGGGTCATAAAGGTCAACGTTCGTCAATGTAGGTCAGCTATGCTGATGACCCTGATGTCAAAAGAATCTAACTTTGGATGCCTACCTCTTTGTACAAGGTTTTGTTTATTGGTTGTTGGTTTATTTTTCACAATTGTTGGCACGATGTTCTTTTTTCATGCCAAGAGCAAAAGTTGTACGTTTCATGTAATCCGACACCTTATAAATCGGTTTGCTACGTTTGCTCTCTTTTTAAAAAAAATTAAACACATTGCTAATTAAACGTTTAGCATCATCTGAATAAGCTTTCATGATGACAGCTAGAAGTAGTCAATGTGAATGATCCAAACGGTCTATCACTGTGCAGTGCACAGGTAACTATCATGAACTGCACGTGCATTTACCTTTATGACCCAACACTGCCGCTGTTACAGGTCATAATGAATGTATTCATGTAGACATAATCTGGGACAATGTAGTCCGGAGACACAGGCCATCAATCGACAGAGATCAGGGATATCTCATCCCATCTGCATACGATGAACTGATAAAACAACAGATTAGACCAGCTATTATTGCTAATTAATCTTATCAGCCATGTATATTTTGTTTCTGCCTCATGGACTATTGGCTTCCTCTTATTGTCACTACATTATTACTACCATCCATTGTTGTTGTTGTTGTTGTTGATAATCCGCTGTTGATGTGTACAAGTCCGTTCTGTGCTGCAGTACTTCACTCAGTCAGTACAACGGTATAAGAAGCTATACTGAAACGTCGCATCATATATAATAAAGAAGCTGTTATCCATTAAGTACAATGTATCTTACTTTCTTACCATACACATGCTCGTAGATTCGCCATGGTAAACGGGCGTTGCTCCCTCAGGTTGATTTCCAAATATACGACATAAACACGAGAATAATATAGAGGATACAACACGACCTTCCGTGTAATGACATTTTTATTAAACGAGTTAATGCTTTGGTATCAAACGAGCGAAATGGAAGCTTGATACTAAATCTTTCACGAGTTTAATAAAAATTGTATTTCACGGAAGCGAGTTTAGTATTCTGTTTATTACTCTCCGACATAAATTGATGAAAACTGCGGCGAAACTACCTACAGTGTGATGACTCTCAGCTTTCCGCAAGTCAAGCAAGGTCTAATACCATTGTGGCGGTGGAAGTAGCATTGTGACGTCATAGCTGTAAACCATTATGACGTCATACGTCTAGCGGTATTACTTAGAGAATAACCAACGAGGTACGAGTGATTACGGGAAATATGCCCGAGTTGAAATAATGTTCACAGTGCCGAGCCTTGGCGAGGCACTGAACATTGTTTTAACGAGGGTATATTTCCCGTAATCACTCGTACCTCGTTGGTTATTCTATTTATTACCCAGTATGTAATTTAAAAGGAAGAACCACGAAATAAAAAACCACCCGGAGACAGGACTTGTGACCTTAAACAGCTGATTCGTATTCATGCGCGTATTAAACCTAACTTCTCCAGCGGTAATAACATAACTACGCTATGGAAATAGTACATCATAAAATCGCTTTAAAATACAACAAAATTATTATGCCTGGAATAATTAATTAACATTTGTTGATATGATAAAAATGATCTTTTAAATGTATCATGAACTTAATAAGAGCTAAACATTTATTCGATCAAGTCAGTGCGACGGAACATCGTTCATTCACGACTGACGTGTTTTCTAGTGACGGGTGACGTTGTAGTTTTGAAACACACTCTGGCAAAAACCTGTCAATTTTTGGGAAAGTCAACGGTTAAAAGTCGGGAAATCTAAAAGACAACCATCCAACGAATACATCTAGAAAAAGTTTTCTGTCAAGAAACTCAAGTTTGAAGATTAAACAACATTTTGTTCTGTGGAAGGCGTGTTACACTCTTGTCTTAGCAGAGTACAGCAGTTCCAAGAAGGATAACTCTAGTCGGAATCCGAGTCTATGAAATGTGTCAATCTCTGCATCGGCTACTGGGACCAACCTCTCGGATTGATTAGGAATGCATGGATATAAAAGGTCATCTTGAAGAAGAACATTTAGCACTGATTCCGGTAAGAAAGGAGCTGTTTTCTGGTTCGATGGCATGGACACCGTGTCCGACTTACTTGTTACACTTTCAGATAATATCTTTAGTCGGTATCTTGCTGTTTCTATTTCCCCGAATTCAGTTTCAACAACAAACAGGTTTTGGGAATTCAAGGGCTGTAAAATTCTTATCACTCTTCCTATTTGGTCACCGTCAACTTTAACTAGGTAAGTGACCTTGATCGGGGTTAGCCTAACGGCGGCCATGTTTGTTTACAAACAATGCAAACGATTGTTTTGGTGGGTTTTTTAAAGATTATATAATTAAAAAAGACTACTATTTATAACGCAGTTTTATTCCAATGTAATAACGTCTAATAAAAATAATATTCATATACTTTAACCAAAATGTTTTCTTTTTTAGATCTCGGAATGTGTGATTACATTACATTATGTCAATTTATCAATGAATCGATGAAACTTTATGAATGAACGTAGTGTGTGAAAGTAGTTCCGGCATCCAATGAAAATGTACAAATATACGATCAACCAATCAACGTCGAGAATCACTAAATTGCACACTGTGCAAATATCAAAAAGATATTACACGGGATCTCCTCACCCGTATGGGTAATAAACTAGTGTAATATTGCCGTAAAAATATTGCACTGCAGTATCCTGCACGGGCGAGTAATGACAGTTCTTATCCAATGAAACCAATTCTAATCGGCACTAAAGCGCGTAGATCTAAACTGCCGTGATCGTTCAACTAGGTTTTCAAATGTGCCTTGTTATTTGAGCAAGACATTTGGCACTCACCTAGACGCTGCTATTAATCACAGCGTGGTTGTGCCTTCTCGAAAGCATCTGTCGCCGACCCTCGAGCCAGACAGCACCATGAAGTGCGCTTAATAAGGGCGTCAACAGGTGCAGTCACACCATCTGAAGCCATTCACATTAACTCTATTTTCCAATTTGCTGTACATGCATGTCTGTTTCAAGATTGGATGTGAGAGGAAATAGCTGTAGGTATATAGACTACGGCAATTCGTTTTCAACTTAAGCTGTTTCCATTGCTTCCATTCGGGATGCCACAATGTTCGTTTCATTTACTCCAATCTACAATACACATCAATGTATTATTCCGTATATTTTGATCATTCTCAAACCGAAAAATTTAAATTCCATGTACACTATGTTAGACAGCGTTTGGTCTGTTTACCTTATTTTCAAAGGTAATGGATTTACAGCAATATTCATATAAAACAATCCAACTCCATTTACAAAGAACATTGGTTCAAAGCACACAGTGTGCATCTATTATGCAGAAAATGTTTAAGCCACTAATGGGAGTTCTTAGTGGTAATATTGTAATGCCTCAAAAATAACTTCTAAAACATATGACTTAGTGTTGTAATCCCCGAGACGATTTATTAAACAGATCGTTCCGCCCGGGTTAGAATTTATCTTAAGGATCTCACGTTTGTCTTAAGCGTCAAAATCATTGCTGAGAACGTTGTTAAACAACAAATATAATTAAACTCACAAATACAAATACCATGAAATTTATTATGAATTACAGTGCAAAGAAGTATCAACAGCACATAGGTTTGCTCTAAACATATTTATTTCCAATAGTGAAACCGGATTGGTAAACAAGCTGTATGTTGCTTATCTGAATACCGCTCCGGAATACAAATGAATTCTAAATATAACAATCATGAATAGAAAATCATGCTATTAACAAACAAACAAACAACAGCTTTCTGGAAATGTAACAATAACTGTAAATATGCTGCTTATAACATTAGAACAATTAGTGTCGGAAAGTAATGGTTAGTGCAATTTCGTTTATACTACCTACAACACAAATCTGCCTGACAATACAATGAAAGAATGGATAGATTCTAATAATTCAAGATTATCTTTAGTAGATCCATTAGGGTGGCCGTATAGTATTGATTTGATGTGATATCCTTTAGTATAGAAGTGCATTTTATTTCATATGTCAGTGTAATTAGCGCACGAAAAGAAATATTGAATTGCCACATACGTTTGCAGTGTAACAGATGTCAGACAGCTCTCTTATGTCTCCACCTCAGCAAAATCAGTCAAATGTTCATTTTGTCATGAGACTATCATAGACCTGATTAAAAAAAGCAGCGTTTCTTAACCATGCATGCTTATTTTACTCTATTTTAAGGGAGCACGAGTGAAGCCCTCGCCGATGTCGTGAAAATATAATGCTCACATGCTCTGAGTGTGTCAGTTGGAAGGTGAAATATGAAGTAAGCGTTGCTCGAACATGCGGGTGACGACATGTTCATTTGTTAATTTTCATGGAGTACACATTTTAGTACCTCATCATCACTATGATAACGCTTTGACAGAATATGTCTCTAACTTATAACATATTTATGTCAGCTGCGAAGTCAGAGTCAGTATTCTATCTTAGGCTATGAACTGATGAATTCCTATTTTCTACTCGAGGTTATGTTTGCTATCGAAATCAAAAGACGTTCGTGCAATCGATGCATCACCGACATGACCAGCGTAGTGAAATAAAATATGACTCCCCTATGAAAAGACCATTTAAATATTTTCCTTACTCTGAACTCCACTTAATTCATTCTAAGGAGACTAAAGCATAAATCAATTACACAACATGAATCACAACATGTGGTGTTCATACGCTTCATGAACAAATGGTATCCTTCACAATGTACAGTAATTCGCGTGTTTCTGATTCAATGGATCTGCAACTTTATTATGTCTCAAGACTGAATGAAGTTATCCTTCTTTTATGTGACGGATGTGAGTGTCTGTTGCCATAGATTTTGCCTGTTTGTGGTCTCAGATCTCTCATTGATAACAATCGTAGTTTCAAGACAAGGCTTGGATATTACCCAGAAAATAGGATAGGTTACATCGATGCACGTGTCGATGTATCCAATATGTATGTGACGGTGATCAACATCACGTGATTCGAGTTGGACGTCGCATGTCCATTCCAAATGGCCGTACACATGAAAGAGAAGTTGGAAATGAGTTGTGATTTTGCAGATACCGGTTTGTGTGAACGGGTCCAACGTTAATCAATAATGAAGGGTGTTTATGTTAGGATCCAAATTAACAGTCTAGAAACTGAGAACATATTGCATGCCAACAACTGTTTAATTAGTTGCAGCGCATTCTGATTGCCTGAACCATACGTTAGAAGTTTATGACTTGTATCTTTGTGGTTAGATACATTTGTGGCAAACAAGCCAGTTAATACCATATTTCATCACGAAGCAGTGCTATCAATTTGTAATTGAAGTCATTGAAAGATTTTATAAACGCTTTTATAAAGTTTCTTTTGAAACCACACATGTTTGTGTTCAGTCAATAAGCACTGTTATTTACTATTAATCACATTTGTCTTTACGAATGTCATTGAACATAAACATTTTGCCTCCGTGGAAGACTCCGACTGTATCAACATATGTTTTGGTACAGCTTGCATGTTGTATGATAAAATATTTACCTCCGTTTTGTTTGATGGACATTTTAGGGGATAATGTAAAACAGATTTGTAACTCAACGCAAGTAAAGTACAGTCACTAATTGCATAACGATTCGTTTGTCATGATATCCTATCAATAATGTTAAAACAAATTACGACATTAGGAAACGAAAACGGGTACTGCAACCTGAAAGGTTTGATATTTTGTCGTCTTTGATTGAACATGGTTCTGGCAAAGACTTCAGTTCATAACTTCTTATCAACAATGTTAAAGACATTCTGATGTCTCACTGAGCACGTATCAGTCCTCATAGACAGTTATAGGTCCAGATTTGTTTCAAGGTTGTCCAAGAGCCCTCCTGTCTGGAGATAGCAATAGTAACACATTTGAATGTGATGCTTTCACCGGTTCATACAAGAGCAAGTAATTTTCAGTATGCAGTAGATCTGAAATGGACTAGCTGTCAAAATTCTAAACCCTCAAAACAGAATATTTCGACGGCGAATATCATAAATTTTGTCCAAACTGTGGAAGGGTTGGCATTTGACATGGTGACACATCGTTTCGCTGCAGGTGGCATTATGGAAAGGTTCGCACAGACGCACATGACATAAATCGAATTTTACAGCACAGATTGAATTAAACAAGTCTTCAGGACATAGCAGCTAGTTCTGCTCATTAAAATACCTAATACCATTACTGCGTGAGCTACTGTGAAGTACAGACATTATACACTATGGGACAGACTTTACACCATGGACGTTTTGTAACATGACAGCATGACACCTTCCCGCCTCCTGAAGGCGAGACAGATGATTATGACAGGAAACAATAATCAACATATTCGGTGGCTTTCTGGTGCAGTGAGAGCGATATGGGACTGTGATTGCTTATAGATCTTTCCTAATTGAAGATGTTCGACAGAGACCTGCTGCTGGGTTGCCCATTGACAATGTACCAGAGGGTCCTTTTTTGTTCTTTTTTGTTTTTCTGTTTATTGAATAACTCTTACTGACTACATTGATTTTGTTATATTGTTTCATTTGGGCTGTTGAAGTTGTACATTAATATACATATTTAGATCAGTGATACAATTACATAACACGTAGCTATAGCACGAAGGGCGTGGATAGATGAGTTTAACAAGACTTGAAATTCACCACTTCTTTGAAATTCTTGCGGAAAGGTACGGTGCCCGAGATGAAGTCCGAGAATCATAAATAGGCTAATCAAGGCTATGACCCAGCGTCTAGCTGCGGGGTATATTCATAATATTTACATTTACTCTTTACATCCACTAATGACCCTGACACCACTGGACCTCGAGCTCTCCTACAGACCCATCTTCGACATGTGTTTTGTGCATTTTTTAAGTTGGGTGGACTTCATTTTCCGTTTTGCCATGTCTACGATCACGAATACCCCCGGAGTAACAAACAGCTGAACTGCAATATTTACGGGCACATCTGTTCTTCTTCATGCAAAAAGCAGATTGATTCTTATGGTTATGGAAAGGTCTTTTCGGTCCTTTAACTATACCTTTGACAAAAAGCAAATGATAACAACCTTTGCAGGTAATTTTTCTGGCTTTTACACCACATCTCAGTGTCATACAGGAATTATCACCAAATATTTTGTTTACATTTTATACAGAATTGTATCAGCTCTATACAAAAAGAATACAATAGATGAAAAGGACAGACTATTCAATTGATAAGCGTCTTACGAAGCGAAATACCTTGGTATGGCCAAAGTGTATGACATTATTTCCTCGATTACTGATCACTGGACATTACAAGTGTCCTCTCAACTCCCTGGCGATCATTATTCCAAACTTGTATGTCAGGCCCTGGAAGGTGTCCACGCCATACGCATCACCATCATACAACCTTGCATCATGAATACATGTATTCATGTTCGTCCAACTTCTAAATGCCTTTCAAAAACTTTAACCTTGCATCAATTCGCTATTTTTGTGAAGCACGTAAACAGATACAGACACACATACAGAAACATAGTGTCTTTTTCATCGTTGCAGGATAGAACCCTGCCCTGTAAAGTCAAACTTCACCCACTTCTGACCTGTGTGAGCTCTGTTTTCATGTCACAATAACAAGGAAAACCAGGAACACAGCCAGTTCCAATTACAAATGAAACCATCTACCAGTATTGTCTCCTTCCACATTAAAACCGAGTTGAGTTTTGTTTTATTAGTCTGGAGGTTTATTGTCTAGACAGTCTCCGAGCATCGTGTCCCAGTTGTATCATGATGTCTATTAGATAAAGTAGGTGCCTGGCCTACACTGTATTAACCTTGGTCTTGGATTTGGACGCCTGATTCACCATGGGTGTTAACCTGGGCTAGCCGTGAGCTTACCTGTGAGATTTCCCAATGATAAACGTCTCCGGCTTTCGGGGCTCTCGGCTTAAATCCACCTTAAGTTTATGTAACTGGCTCTGAAGGAGATGCTGTTTAAGACGGACTCCCTTAGTTATCGTAATACGTGACGTTTCTTAGCTTGTTTATAAACATTAGTTCAGACAACTAAAATACATTTTGTTACAAATATTATTTAAGAGACCTCAAAATACAGTTTGTTATGAACATTATATAAGAGAGCTAAAAATACATTTTGTTACAAACATTATCTAAGAGAGCAATAAATTATTATACAGTTTGTTACAAACATTATCTAAGAGAGCAATAAATACAGTTTGTTACAACCCTGTATAAGACATCTAAAAATATAGTTTATGGGCAGAGTTATACAGTTTATATTCATGTGAAAAACCTACATTGCAACTTCAAATCTCTGGCACGCAAGACCTGCATTATCATATTTTGATATTTGATCACATTTTATGAACATATTTTCTTCATTTTCGGCTTCTTTTCCCTTATACAAAGTCAATTGATTGGCAAGGGTAGTGCACAGTTTAGAGATGGAAACACTCGAGCTCCGTGAAACTTTCAGTATGAAAGGACTCTCAAAACAAACAATGACACGCAAGACATCAATCAATCTTTTATTTACAGTACTGAAAAGGCCATAGGCCTATTGTACCTTTTTTACATACAGTAACAAAGTGTGCAATAGAAATAAATACATCATAAATAACATCACATCTGTAATGCAGAGGATCTGACAGTCATTGCATGGTGTATATACATTGCAAGATATTTTTTGACTGTTTGGTTTTGGGATGACATGAGGGTATAGAATTTGTTTATTCGGGGGTACAAATTATTATAGAAATATTTCTTTATGTATTCTTTTCTGATATTTGTATACAATGGACAAACAAGCAAGAAATGGCATTCATCTTCTACCTCCAGATAAGTACAATATTTACACAATCGGTCTTCCCTTCATATCCCTTAATGTCTAAATATCCCTAAATATATCATAAGAACTACATCTGAAACGGGCTAGTGCTGTTCAGAATGTATTAACATTAATGTCTGAAAGATATTTTTCAGTACGAATAAATTATTCAAAAGAGCAGTAATGATTTAACTTATTATGTAAAGATAGTGAAGAGTACCACTTTGTGAAAAAACATATCTCGTGGCCTTTGCCTTAAATCATATATGAAATGATATGGTGCTGTTACCTGTTGTTCTCTCCATATGTATTCATACCCGCAAGATTGGAGTATCTTACTGACACAAGGGGCCCAGTTATGTTACCTATTATCGTAAAGCGTCATCATGTTATAACATTTCTTTGGGAATCTGGTACTTGGCATTTTAAGCAATCCTATCTAATGTTTTATTACTTTTATGTAACTAAATGCATATACAGGGTATCTCCCACATTTCCCATAAACTGTAACATTTGGGGTGTTGGACTTAACGCCTAAAAATCGTCTACTCGCATATAAATGTTCCTTCTCTGGTGTATCATAGATTTCATGCATGATCACACATTTATTTTTATATTTAATAACATTTGATTAACTCCCCACCACCTCTCGCTGTGCTAGGCTATCAACGGAAACTAGTCCGAAGTATATAATATCATATATCCAAATACAATAAAAGACCCACCCATAGCCTAGCACGATAATGAACTGTGGTGTTTAGTTGACCGAGTTCTGCGCGCCTCTACTATAATTATATCATCGTATGACTTCCAGCAAGGGTGAACGATAAGACATCAACCTGTTGTCTCATTTACAAAACGTCAAAGCAACCATATCTACAAAAAAGTAAAAACTGACAAAGTTTAGTGTATGATTCTGAGCACGCTTCTGACACGGGGTGATTTCCAAGTTAAATGTTCAATATTGCACAAACTTATGGATAAGTGAGTGCGACGTTTTGATACAGATTTTTGTACCGTTTGATAACACCTTGGCAATACAAGAAGTTGTCCATAAAGTGTGTTCAATATTGTACGTCCCATCTTCTAAAATTCCACTCAAAGAAGTTAAAATGTAAAGTTTAAACAGGAATTCGTGTCACAGAGAGTTTTGAAATCGGTGAATGACCACACAAGATCAATGCATAATCAATACATTAAATGTACACAGAGTGTTATCTTTTGCAATAGAAAAGGCCAATAGACCAGTTACGTAGCAGTCCTATAACTTAATTTAATGATTTCACAAATGTCGCTATTGACTTACATAATCCCGCCTCAGATGTTGAATCCAGAAAACGTTTAGACGCCATCACCCTCACGGACACGCAAATGAAAATGCCACTAAATGATGTAAGTTGTGTCCACATATGAAATATTAAGGTCCATTTTCCTCACCATACCATTGCCAATACTGGTAGCAACAAGCCCGATGCTGTACACTGCAAGTGAAGAACAGTACACATGATATGTCTAAAACACTTAATGGCCGTAAACGTTGCACATACACATTCCTCAACACTGTATCTTGTTAAAAGGCACCAAAATGTTGTGTCGTAGACTGTAAAAGGCAGGAATGTCGTGTAAGACAATTTGACGTCAAGGTGAACGTCATCAAAGTGTAATTTCAAGATTAGTGCAGACATACCAAATAAGAAATGAGGTTACGGAAAAGCTATGCCCTGGCAATCTCTCGCGGTATGCTGGTGAGACAACACAGCATTATGAAGGCTAGTTAGACGAAGTCAAACACTAGTTTTAAAGGCACGGTGGCTAGAAAGTAAAGCAATTCCAATCCGAACCATCAAAAATTGTCGGAAAAGGCCTGGATACAGAACCAAAAAAATCAATGCAACATCCATGGTAACTCAAAACGTTGTTGGTATGGTCTTATCAAAGTCCATACAGGAATTATGCACCTTGCCAATTGTGACAACCTTATACATGAAAGGTATGTGGAACAGGTGTCAGGAGGCAGGTAAATGAGACGATGGCTGTATACAACATTCAGCAGAACCATTTGGTAGGGGATTGGTAATGTGTTCCAGGGTGTGTTCCAATCAATTGTAAACTTGACAAATCTCTAATAGGTTTAATCTGAAGGGACCTCATCAGCATGACAGCCTGGAGACGGCAGTTATCCCTCGTTTTGACAATCATGCGTGGGATACGTAAGTCCCAAAACATTCAAAGTCAATTTAGTTCAACCATGCTTTTAAACGTAGAATATTTGTTATTTTAAATTATGGCTAAATTCCCTTCCATCGCCAGCGGCTGAGGGGATGGTGTAAATCCAGCTAGGGCTCAAGTAGGTAGCAAAAGTAATGTAAGTCCCCATGATCCCTAGTATGGTGATCTACCTTCAGTTGTTGGCGATCTATAGCCCGATTTTATATTGTGATGTTTTGAAATGATTTAACATTTTACACTGAACTCAAACTAGTTTTAATCCAATTGTGATATTCTAGTCGTTATACTGTCCTTCGTTGGCAGGTTTTTAAATTAGTATACATATGTTTATTCTTAGTACATAACTTTTTTTCGTCACAATATGGCTGAAATATTGCCGATGTGACGTTAAATATTAACTCACTCACTCAATCATGCGTGGGCAACTAGACAAGTCTTTAATGAATGAAAATGCTAGACTTCACATATCCAGTACTTATGTCTTCCAGACGTCCATGGACACACGTCCTAGGCCAAGAACAAGTCCAAATCTCTACGTAGTTGACCATCTGTGGAATATTGTAACCCGTCAGGTTAGACAAGAGAAACTGACATTGGTTCAGGTTTGTGGTGGTATACAGATTGCTTAATAGCTTTTCAGTATTTATTGGTACTGGTATTGCTGATTGTAATGTCTTTCAACAATTCCGAATCTTTGCCATTTCAAACCCTTGTTTTTGTCACGATTGATGACCTTGCTAAGCAGTAAACATCAGTTGATACCGTTGTCATGAAGGCCAAAAAATAGATTGACACATTTTTCACAATATGAGGGGTTCTTAATTAATTTCCTTGAGTATGATGGTCCTGTGGCAAAAGCTTAAAACAAAGTCTGGTCGAAACGGTCCCGATTGCCCTCTGGTCATCCCTCCTATAGGTACATCCAGCCTTATGCAAAAAGTATTTTTCAGACCATTTTCGTTCCATCAAGACGGCCATGTTCATAAGTCTAATTCAAAATACAAAATCATTCTTTAAATCTCCACACCCTGCTTTCAAAAGATATTCAAATCCAGCCGCGAAAGCACTTGAGATGTTTTAAACGTTTTCAGTCATTTGCTACCAAGTACTACACGTACATAAATATGTTCACAAAAGGACTTACACATAAGGGAATTGAACTTTATTTACACTCCGGCCTCGTTCTGCGGGCATTAGACAAACATGTTTACAGCACTATTATGTACAACATAAATATGTTACATACATGTATGATGCACAAAATGTTAAATTACATCGCTTGGTTGCAAGATACTATGTCTGTACATGGATTTAATCAGTTAAATACTAGTATATAATGTTACGCTAATGCGTTATTGTTTATTCTCTTGGGCGTTGCTTAAAATGGGTCATTATTATTTTGCAAAAATTTCTGATTTCCTAATTGTTCGTAGTTTATAAGAGTGAAAATGCTGGTTCATTTTGTGCATGTTCGGGTTGCTACAGTAATAGTTGTTTACATATTTCTTGCTTTCAAGCATCAAGGTAGGGCAAATAAAACAGAAAGTGAAAATCATCCCAATATTGTTTGAATTACAAAGAGAGCTTAATCTTTCATTTGGGGGTACTATAGTCCATCGTCCCATTTCGTCTGGAATGTAATTGTTTGAGGTGCTGAAACTTATTAACGCCCTCCGATTGTTATGAATTAAAAAAATCAGATAGGTTTCGTATTTCAATTCAGAATTTTTACAATAATACAGATAGAGTATTGTCATGGAGTTTTGGGGAACTGCTAACTCAAAGCTTCTTTCCTGGTAAAGTTCAGTTGGCTACATTTGAGGTCATCGTTTGAAAATGGTTCGATGATCTCCTAAATCGATGTGGGCACATTGCCTTATGCCATATTACAGTGTATGAGCCACGATAAAAAATGAACGACATCACATGTGTATCATAATTATTTCACGAAATATCTTGCACAAAATCAGGACACATACTTCCCACCTATTTCACGGATTTTGTACAAAACACATTAAAAAATACTTATACAATAAGAAATGCATATGCGTGATTTATACAATTCGGTGTCACATTTGAACAAGATTTTTTCCGTTTTTCCGTTTTCCATAAATCATATACCTGAATCCTTCCGAAGGTTGTCCTGACAAACTGTTAAGGCTGTCACACTGCGCAGATGTCAATAGTGTATTGTTTTATTATTTTTTTACTCTTTTAATTGTTCTCATACAAACTGTCTCTGGCGGCCATGCGCGTGTTTCACACATGTCATCATTAGTGTTTGTTTCTGGCACAGAGCCAATATGTTGTTTGCCGCCCCTTGCCCTGAAGAAAAAGACATCACAGAACATAAAAATGTACTCTGCAAAATAGGAGGGGATCATGAAATAAATATTACCAAGTATCAGAACAAAACGATAAATGTCGATAAACGACTGCAAAACAGTAAGGATACAACTGTTATTAATACATATGGCAAGGAACCTTTAGAACTTTGTAAAGTTTTTGTTTTACTTTATTGACACGGAACTATTTCTGTTGATCTTTGCTACTGTTGATGAGCCATGCTGTTTGCTCAAAGGTAAGGATGATCCCTCCAATGTATGATTAGAAATATTGTAAGATCAGTTGTAATCTGTGATCAACTGTAACGCACATACAGCTGTTTTGTATGAACAGGTATAATATGTGATCTGGTAGAATGCAAGATCACCTGTTACTTATGATAAGCTGTAATATATGACTCGCTATAGTGTAGGATCAGCTATAATGGAAGATCATCTGTAATTTGTAATTATCTGCAATGTATGGTCCGCTGTAATCAGCTGAAAACGTATGATCAGTTGTGTGATGTACGATTCGCGGCAACGTACGATCAGCCGCATTGAATGATCTGCTGTAATTTGTGATCAGCAATAATGTATGACCACTGACAATGACCATCTGTTATGTATGATCACATATTATTCATGATCGTCTGTTATGTATGATCAGCTATGATATAATCTTACAAAAGTAGGGGAACTTCATTATTAATGTACGATTGAAACAATTAGGAGATATATCTGAGTCAATCAATGTTGTTGTTTTGAGAGTGCATCACCACTTGCACTTCCTTAGGACCATAGTTCTTTGTACAGTAATCGCTCTTGAAAGATGATTTGTGTGTGACGTGAAGTTTGCATGTGTATGATTTTCATTTTAAAACATAGGCTAAAAACAAACACTAACAACTGTGTGATGCAGGATGGTTGTCAAAATTGATGGTATACATTGATTTGTCTACCTTCTTGAAAACCATCAAAATCAAGAATGATACCTCATGCACGTGTATGGGGCTACTGCGTTGTGCATGTGTATCCCATGCGTTGTGTTAAGAGGTGGTGATAAAGAGAAATGGTGGTGCGTTCATAAGATGTCTTTCATTGAAAAGTTTGTTAACGCTCATACTTCCTATCCAAATTGAAAGTTCAGGTTCCCCTACTTTTCTTAACAGTATTTATGATGAGCCGTTGTTTCATCGATTAGAACGTACGGTTAGGTGTAATGAGTCATCTGTTGTAATGTATGATCAGCTATCATGTCTGGTCAGCTGTTATATAATCAACTGTAATGTATGATCAGCTATCATGTCTGGTAAGCTGTTATATAATCAACTTTAATGTATGATCAGCTATCATGTACGATCAGTTGTTGTATATGATCAACTGTAATGTACTATCAGCTATCATGTCTGATCAACTGTTATATAATCAACTGTAATGTATGATCAGCTATAATGCCCGATTATCTGGTATATACGATCAACTGTAATGTATGATCAGCTATAATGCCCGATTATCTGGTATATACGATCAACTGTAATGTATGATCAGCTATAATGTCCGATTATCTGGTATATACGATCAACTGTAATGTATGATCAGCTATAATGTCCGATTATCTGGTATGTATGATCAACTGTAACGTACGATCATCTGTTATATGTGAGCAGCTATTACGTATGACCAGTTACGATGTACGAACATCTGTTATATATGACCAGCTATAACGTATGATCAGTTATAATGTACGGTCATCTGTTACCTTAATTTCAATCTCCCCTCGTCGAGAAACGATGTAGCCCTCTAGTTCTTGCAGGAAGCTTGCAGTCACCTCACTCATATGTATCTTCAATGCTGAGACCAAAAACAGGCAGAAGATAGAATACAAAATCAACAATTGATGCCAATCTCCCTAAAGAAGCAGCAGTTCAATGATATATACACGCACGTCAATAACAACTGCACTTATGCAGGTAACATTTTCATAAGCTGAGCAAGATGTTCAGTGCGTTTAGTTAAGTGTCAGGGGCGGATCAAGGATTTTGGAGAGGGTGTATGGGGGGAAGGGTTGCTATGCACGCAAATCAAGAAGTCCCACCCCTACCCCTCTGGATCCGCTCCTGTGTGTTCTGTACTTCAATTGCATTAATCAGCTATCGACATTTCATTCATAAAGAAGTGGATATCTGTGTATTTACAACATATTATATCAACGAAACAGAATCTGACAGCAAGTGCATCATATTTTCAAACATGTTTCAGCGTTTCCGAGGATACAGAAACTTTTGGTTTAATTTTATTTTGTCAACAACTGGTCATGCTGATGTTGATAATATTTTATGTACGCTTCTGACAATATAAACGAACGTGATCTTCACCAACATAAAATATTTCCTCACCTTCCCCGTTCGATTCCATCCTGGAGGCCATGTTAACCGTATCACCAAAAAGACAGTACCTGGGCATTGTTTTGCCGACCACCCCTAGAGAAATGAATTACGTCAGTATACAAAGGGTGTAGGCATGCACTGCTCGACGTCATACATAATGATAAATGCATTTACCTACTGTCCATTTACCTACTGTACAAGTGGCCCGTGGCCCGCGGCGCCCATGAAGATCCGGGTTAGAATTGATCTTCAGTAACCCATGCTTGTCGTAAGAGGCGACTAACGGGATCGGGTGGTCGGGCTCGCTGACTTGGTTGACACATGTAGTCGTATCCCAATTGCATAGATCGATGCTCGTAAAACTAAACTCACTCACTTACTCGCTATGGTGCTGCAATTCGCTGTCATTTTTTTCGTGTGAGCCCGATAGGTTGCAAAGCTTGATATGGGCATCATTTTTTTAATTTGTTTCACGTAACCACCAAATTCTGAACATGGGTCGGTCAGGAAACAAAAAAACTATTTAAAAAAAAATTAACAAAGACAAAATTATCCGAATAATGTTCTTGATTCTCATTTATTGTAATTCTTATTACAAGTTCTCGTGGTTCTTTGGACTTGCGGCAGCGATTGATTAAAACATTTTAGATAGATAAACATTCTATATGACGAGGCGGTACGTTTTAGGCTCGAGTCGTCGATGTTGGAATGAAAAAAAAGGTTTTTTGGAGGGGTCGGCAATAAAATTAGAAGGGTCTGTCGGGCGGTGAGAAAAACAAAAAATAAAAATCCTGCCCTACTAGATAGTACTGAAAGCTTGCCCAACCTTTTTAGCAACAATCATGTGTAAGCAATGGTAGCTACGCCCTTGATGACACAAAGCTGATCACGACATGATCGTACCGTCGACTCCCAACTCTCCATCGCTATGTTTCCATGTAGTTGGAACTATACCTGTCTCATGGGTTTCACCAAAGTGGTAAATATCCCCAGCAATTCAGGTAGGTCGGTGAGTATGGTTGCAATATTGCAGCAATAACGGCGGGGGACACCAGAAATGGGTTTCACATATTATACTCATGTAAGGAATCGAACCTGGGCCTTCGACGTGAACGCTTCAATCACCAGGCTACCCCTCCGACCCTCACCAATTCCGTCTTTCATCCCACGCTCGGCATTAAACCAACTCAGCCACCCTAGTGTATACAGTCGGCAAAATGAGTAACATAATGTAATAAACAGGAGCCTATGATTTCGGAATATTTCGTTGAGGTTCTAGAAGTGTTGAAAAATTGTGGGAAAGGGACTAGGTGATTGACGTGTTGAAGTTGGTTCAAGTGTTAATATACCGAGAGAGTATTTAATCTGTTATTGATGTGTTTCTTGAAGTGTTAAAATAGATCATATTTCGATGTCACATAATTAACAATTTGATCTTATTACTACTACGATAGAAATACTTTTCAAAGCAGTTACTGACTGGCCTCTATCTATACAGTGAGCGAGTATGGATTTACGCAGCTTTTAGCAATATTCCAGCAATATCACGGCGGGGACACCAGAAATGGGCTTCACACATTGTACCATGTTGGGAATCGAACCATGGTTTCGGCCTGTCAAGCCAACGCTTTAACCACCCCACCGCCCCTAATCTCTACATACTTCATTCCCCACTTGATTGTTAAAAGGCATGTCCATTCGAGGAGCAGTATGTGTTACTATACACCAACATTAATCAATGTTCATGATGTCAACCCCTGGTTTATTTGACCCAGAGCTAAACTACCTACCTGCAGCACAACTACCAGTGTGAAGTCCAATCCGCAGTTTCATTTGGTAATCCGGACAATGCGCAACCTTGAAATTTCCAATCGACTGTAACAAGTCCAGTGCCATATTGGCAATCTCAGAGACATGACGATTGCCGTTTCGATCTGGGAGTCCGCTGACCACCATGTAGGCGTCTCCGATGGTCTCCACCTTGTACACGTTGTGGTGGCTAATGTTGAGGTCGAACATGGTGTACAAGTCATTGAGAAGGTCGACGACCTGAATTGGTGTGCTTCTGGCCGCAAGATCGGTAAAACCCACTATGTCAGAGAAATACACAGTGACAGATTCAAAGATCTCCGCTTTTACCTTAGATCCACGTTTCAGTTTTTCTGCTATTGAACTGAAAAGGAAGCATAAATAATTCGGTTTATAAAACACGAGTGTGAGTGACTATGGTTTAGCAATATTCCCGGGACAACGGAATAGGCTTCTCATATTGCACCCATATGGGAAATGAAACCCGGGCCTTCGGCGTGACGATCGAACGCGTCAACCGCTAGGCTACCCCACCTCCCCAAACATGTCAGTGAGTGAGTGAGTTTAGTATTACGCCGTTTTTAGCAATATCACGGCGGGGGACACCAGATATGGCTTCACACATTGGGCCCATGTGGGGAATCGAACCCGGGTCTACGTGCGAACGCTGTAACCACTAGGCTACCCTATCGTCCCCCAAACATGACAATAATGACATCAATAGATACACAGCCTCCTTGCCAGGACGTGTAATCTCGACGAGCCCAGAAACATAATAATGATGAAAAACACTGTCATAGGCTTCTGGCACGCCTAAGGGACGCAACTCTGCGAGCTATGGCACTAAAGAAAACAGGGCAACAGGTGTTTCGTGACTGTTCGAACGTATACTGACACCGGCAGCATCCTGAAGAGCAACGTGTCCGATTTCTTCTTCTCTTCCACGAGGTCGCTCGTCCTCTGCTCGATGATCTCCTCAAGGTTGTTGGCGTATTTCTCCAGCATCAGGATCATATTGTCTACGATGTTCAGCTTCCTGTTGACATACGGATTATGTTAATACACCCCTATAGATGAAGAATGTTAAAGCGTTAGTCTATTGCGACCAACTGTTGCAATGCTATCGCAGTAGTTTGTATTTTTCTCCTTGTATTGTCTCATTTTCAATAAGTCATTTCTCAAAATCAGTGTATGGTTTATATGAAATAAATACAAGTTGAAGTAGTTTCAGTCTCTTTTGATAACTGACAAGGAACTTGAAACCCAGATCAAGTAAACAGTTAAAGCATAAACTCAATGAAGCTGGAAGTCTGCACCCAAACATCCTGTATTTTGCACAGCGTATTTATCAACGGAAGTCAATTACTAAACTATCGATAATCACAAAAACTATTGATGCATCGATAGTTTTTCTTTTCTACCCTCAATTAATCGCTATGTCAACAATAATTAACTATCTCTGTTGATCACTGGGGTGTCTGGTCCAGACACGATTATTTTCAGACCGCCGCCACATACGGTGTTAGATTGGTTTGATAGATTGTTGTTTTACGCCTCACTCAGCAATGTTCCAACTATATTGCGGCGGTCTATAAATAATCAAGTCTGGACCAGACAAACCTGTGATCAGCAGCATGAACATCGATCTACGCAATTGGGATACGATGACATGTGTCAAGCAAGTTGCTCAAGACAAATTCTAACTCGGATCTTCACGGGTGTTAACGGTGTCAGAACTGACACTGAAACGGTGCTCCCAAATACAATAAAGACGTTGTTTTTCTTATACAATAACGAGTTGGCTTCTAAACTACGATCTCGGATTTGCATCAGGCTTGATGGTCGGCTTACAGGACCGCCTCAATTATTCAATGTCTGCGACCTACCTTCCCTTGTTCAGTGTAAGCAACGACTGTTTGATGCTTGTAAAGGTGGGTCTGGAATCAGGGACTTCCTCCCAACAATTCTTCATCAGAACCATGGCGGATTCGGGGACGTTATCACCACTTGTCTGAGACTCGCTCTGTTGGTTTTTGTCAGTATCCGGGCGGAATATCGGATTTCTTGGAGCTCTTAGGTTCTCAATAATCTCTGAAGAATACAATTGGTATTCGGTATTGTTGTGTTTGCTGTGGTTTAAATGCTTTACGTTCCGGTTAGCTAATTCTAAAGTGTGAATGTACCTTTGGGTGTGCTCCGATCTGTATCGTAAGGTTGACAGCGTTGTAAAATCTCGTACATGATGATGCCAAAGCTGTACACATCCGCCTTCTGAAGCTGAGCCGGAGCCATGACGTCTTTAGAACGAAGGACCTCTGGGGCTGTCCAGAACAGCCCTGTGTTCAACACGATATATGCAGGTTAACTGAAGAAAGTTATACGCTTGAGTACGGTCCAAACACCGACGGACACATTTGAAGTTCATGTAACTATTGCTTTAGACTGTATACAGCCGTGAATCATGATACAAGTAACATAAACTCCCCACAGCACCATCCTTCTGAACTATTACATTTCAGCAGTAAGTTCATGTCAACATCATACTGAAACCCTTACAAAAAAAGGCTTAAACGTTTAAGTCTGTACCAACACCTGTATCTTGCAAACTGAACATTCACGTTATGTTATAGTTGTAGTGTTCTATGTAGCGTGAAGGAGCTAAAATACATCGATTATTATAGAAACATATATGGGATTTTAGTATAACGAGTTAAATGAAGCAGTAACCGCATAAAACTGAATTTTCAAAATAACAGAACGCAATGGATTTGTGGTTGCACTAATTGACCGACAAGGGAAGGCATTAGTTTCAATGGCATCTAAGATACTGTCTCCTTAACGAACTCTATAAGCAATAGTGGTTGATTGACTGATTCACTTATCGATTGACTGATTAATGATGTATGGACTCAAACCTTGTAAAAGTTGATACTCAGCATTAATCTTGTCAGAAGGACGTCGTAAGTGCTTCATGCCAAAATCGGTTACTTTCAGGACCCAACGGTTGTCAACGACACAGTTACTGCTCTTCAGGTTGCCATGGTCACGAAGGGGGTGATGAATGAATGTAGCATAAACCCTAAAAGAACAATGTCATCAAGAAAATTTAATTTAATTACATTATATCCTAACATTATATCTACATCCATATATGCGATATAAGACCTGAAAGGCGTAACAACGCGTCTTTCTATACATATAATAACAATGCAAACATGTGGATCATATTAGTTTGGAGAGGTTCTTTAAACTGAATTTATTTGAGAAAATATTCTCTTATGTTCACCAGAACAATCCAGGCAGTTCAGTAACGTGTATAACGAACACACAAATCGAATTCAATTTGAATTTGAATCTGTTAAAATCTAATTACGAGAAAAACCTTCCTCGGAAGGAACTGTGGATCTGCCGTCAAAATAATTAAGACAAGTGCACAATAAATCTTGTGAGAGAATGCTCTATGATGCTTTATGATACTTTATGCTTTTCCCATTGACCACTATTTGTATAGATTTTATATCTGTTGATATAGTAATTTTGAAAAAAACGTTTTGGATCTATCGTCAATACAATTAAAACCTATACTGATTATATTTTACAAGTGAAGGCCATGTCGTTCCTTATATAATACCTTATATCAGCTGTTTCACCGAGACTTGATCAATTTCAAGCATGAAAGTCATATGGATAAATTATGCCACGAACATATTCCTTAAAGACAAGTGAGTGCATCGTGTTGATATATAGTAGTCCAGGTTTGCGACATTCATGGTCATTATCACAACACAAAATGAAAAAGCTTCATCCACGATCATATAGGTTCAGTATTGACGGACACTCCTGCTTCCATAATGAATTCCATATTGACCAATATCCTCAAACTACCTTCTCTGATGAGATGCGTGGTACAGAATAACTCTTTTTGTTTCATACAAAGTGTTTTGGGTACACTCACATTCACCAGATCAGTGATTAGGCTCATCTTGAACATCCTCTCCAACTTGATGTCCTCATTACCTATAATATCCTGCAAAGACAAAAATATTAAAATTTAGGTCGCCAAGGACAGTAAGGTTAGACGTCGACAGGATTCAGACTCACGATAGGGCTTAGATTTGTTTGACATAACTTATATCAATGGTAGAATTATGATAGACCTTGATCCACCATGGGACGCAGATCGATGATAGAGTTATATTCCCAGTAGGAGTCGGAAACATTACAGGATTCGGATACTCTTAGTTTGTTACAGACCAATGGCAGTACTGAGAAATATGACACAACTCAGAACGGTACTTAGAAGTACGACACTACTCGCACCCATGGTAGTGTTCAGCGGTATTACACCACTCATAGCCGTGGTAGTACTGAGAAGTACGACACTACTTTCAACCATGGTAGTACTGAGAAGTACGGCACTACTCTCAACCATGGTAGTACTGAGAAGTACGATACTATTCTCAGCCATTGTAGTACTGAGAAGTACGATACTATTCTCAGCCATGGTAGTACTGATAAGTACGACACTACTCTCAACCATGGTAGTACTGAGAGGTACGACACTACTCTCAGCCGTAGTAGTACTGAGAAGTACGACACTACTCTCAGCCGTGGTAGTACTGAGAGGTACGATACTATTCTCAGCCATGGTAGTACTGAGAAGTACGATACTACTCTCAGCCATGGTAGTACTGAGAGGTACGACACTACTCTCAGCCGTAGTAGTACTGAGAAGTACGACACTACTCTCAGCCGTGGTAGTACTGAGAAGTACGACACTACTCTCAGCCGTGGTAGTACTAAGGGTACGATACTACTCTCAGCCATGGTAGTACTGTGAAGTACGACACTACTCTCAGCCGTAGTAGTACTGAGAAGTACGACACTACTCGCACCCATGGTAGTACTGAGAAGTACGACACTACTCTCAACCATGGTAGTACTGAGAAGTACGACACTACTCTCAACCATGGTAGTACTGGTAAGTACGACACTACTCTCAACCGTGGTAATACTGAGAAGTACGACACTACTCTCAACCATGGTAGAACTGATAAGTACGACACTACTCTCAACCATGGTAGTACTGAGAAGTACGACACTACTCTCAACCATGGTAGTACTGAGAAGTACGACACTACTCTCAACCATGGTAGCACTGATAAGTACGACACTACTCTCAACCATGGTAGTACGACACTACTCTCAGCCGTAGTAGTACTGATGAAGTACGACACTACTCTCAACCATGGTAGTACTGAGAAGTACGACACTACTCTCAACCATGGTAGTACTGAGAAGTACGACACTACTCTCAACCATGGTAATACTGAGAAGTACGACACTACTCTCAACCATGGTAGTACTGAGAAGTACGACACTACTCTCAGCCATGGTAGTACTGAGAAGTACGACATTACTCTCAACCATGGTAGTACTGAGAAGTACGATATTCAGCCGTAATAGTACTGAGAAGTACGACACTACTCTAAGCCATGTCCATTTCAATGTCAAATGAGTTATCGTCACGATATGGCTGAAATATTTCCGATGTGACGTTAAATAATAACTCACTCACTCACTCACTCTAAGCCATGGTAATATTCACTGTCATGCCACCACTCATAGCCGTGGTAGTACTGACAAGTACGACACTACTCTCAGCCGTGGTAGTAATGAGAAGTACGACACTACTCTCAGTCATGATAGTACTGAGAAGTACGATGATACTCTTTAGCCGTGGTAGTACTGAGAAGTACGACACTACTCTCAACCGTGGTTGTACTGAAAAGTACGATGCTACTCTCAGCCGTAGTAGTACTGAGAAGTACGACACTACTCTCAGCCGTGGTAGTACTAAGGGTACGATACTACTCTCAGCCATGGTAGTACTGTGAAGTACGACACTACTCTCAGCCGTAGTAGTACTGAGAAGTACGACACTACTCTCAACCATGGTAGTACTGAGAAGTACGACACTACTCTCAACCATGGTAGTACTGAGAAGTACGACACTACTCTCAACCATGGTAATACTGAGAAGTACGACACTACTCTCAACCATGGTAGTACTGAGAAGTACGACACTCCTCTCAGCCATGGTAGTACTGATAAGTACGACACTACTCTCAACCATGGTAGTACTGAGAGGTACGACACTACTCTCAGCCGTAGTAGTACTGAGAAGTACGATACTATTCTCAGCCGTGGTAGTACTGAAGAGTAATAGTAGGCGTATCATCCGTTCAGGTCTGGGCTGTTATCTTAATGTGATATGATGGGACAGATGGGAGTCCTTGGTAAAACCTTCTGGGACATACCTCATCCTACCGACTAACAATGACAAACAAGTTCCTATAAACTGCAAATACTCCATAGAGAGACCACACATACCATAGAAATAATATTTGCATAGACCGATAGAACGTATACAAAGTTGAACATGCTTCTCAATGAACTAACGCCTCATTATTGTGGGGGCGGTGGGTAGCCTAGTGGTTAAAGCGTCCGCTCGTCAAGCCGAAAACCCGTGTTCGATTCCCATCATGGGACCAATGCGTGGAGCCCATTTCTGGTGTCCCCTGCCGTGATATTGCTGGAATATTGGTAAAAGCGGCGTAAAACCATATTCACTCACTTCCTTAACTCCCTGGCTTGTGGCGCAGTGGCGTGTGCTACTGTCGTTGGATCCAGAACAATATCTTCTACATTACCGGATAACAGCTCTATTTTTACAGCAGAAGCCAAAGCTATATCCACGGCTCTTAAATATATTAAAAAACACCCTTAATATAAACAATATATAATCTTTTCTGACACTCTTGCGTGCCTTCAGGCTATTAAAACGTATCTTGTAAACATCCTCTTTTAATTGAAATTATTGAATTATAAGATGTTCTTGCTACTGGCCAATTCGACATCGGTTGCCCAGCCACGTCGGCATTTCTGGTAACACAATGGCCGATTTTGCTGCTAAGGCAGCGCTCAACAAATCTGTGATATCACTTCTCATTCCATATTCCATTACAAAGCTGTTATTAGATCCTATGGCCGTGATCTGATGCAGAAGAGGTTGGACACCCAAGTAGGTATAAATAAATTACATGCAATTAAACCATCCATCGGTTACATCTACTGTCAGTCCAGATTCCAAGCATGTCTTGCTTGACTGTATTGATTTTTTCACAAGGAATAACTATTTCAATGTAAAAACGATGAAGGATCTTTTTAAATAATGTACATGTTCATTTAATTATTGAGTTTTTAAAAGAAATTAAATTAATTGATAAATGTATATTGTAATTAGAATATAAATTTCAATTTGTGAGAATGAATTAATGACTTTGACTGTTAGTGGCAAAGGGGTTTAAGGGGTCCCTCTGAGAAGGTATGCAAGTCCCATTTCATTCAAAGGTTTTTTCATACCACGTGTTTTAATCGTAAAATATGTTAGGGACCGTTCATAATTTATGGCTAGGGGCGGTGATGATGATGTTTATGAAAAAGCATGTACAATGTGAATGAACCCCCCTAAAATTTATGTACAAAGTAAGTGCACCTTGCATGTCATGTACAAAATCAATGACCCCTCCCCTTCCCATACTTTCTAAGCATATTTACTCATGTACAAAATTGCTGACCTCCTCCCCAGTACATGTGTACAGAATTGATGACCCCCATCCTCCCCAGAACAAAATGGGTGAACCCCCGTTACAATCATCATCACCCCCACCCCCTTCCTAGCCATAAATTATGACCGGTCCCTTATTTTAATGTATGGCTACTTTTTACTACAATCGCCAATTCAGCTAGGTAGCAAAGGTACTGTAAGTCCCCATGATTCCTAGTATAGCGATCTACCTTCAGTTATTGTCGTCCTACAGCCCATTTTATATTGTACTGTTAAAGATAGAAATAGTGTTTTATGGTTATATGCTAGTTTTACGTATAAATCCGTGATAGACTAGTTATTTTACTGTCCATTGCAGACAGGTAAGTATATAAGTTTATTTTTATTTCATTTATACAGTTACAAATTTACAACTTTCATAGTCCCGATATGGCTGAAATACTGCCGATGTCACTTTTAACTCACTCACTCACCCCTCTTGTGTTTCCTTTAACCGCATCATGATCGGCTTTCTTTGTTATCCTTTGTCAATATCACATCCTTGTTCGGCTACGATCGTCGTATTCAGTTGTTTCCAACAAGATGACACGACCATACTATTGTTGAAATAGACTTGGCGTCACTTGAACTCCCATTCTCCAACATAGGCTTAAGATAGTCGTAGCGCTAAGATCGCTTTGTGCAAGTGGGCCTTGGTGTTCAAAGCCGCTATAAACTAAACACACTTAACATCAGTGACATAATTACTGATGTATTGATCGTTGTGCTGTCGTCAGACGTTTTAGTAAATGTTTATACGAAGGTAACACGACATGCCAAGCTCACTGTTTAGTTGGGGATATTAATGTTTTTTTCTCATGAAGAGATATTGTCTCATGTCCATGTATAATACCAATACATTGTCGTTCTGGAATTAAAGGACCACTTTATAATATAAATCTAAACAGATAATAACATCAAAACCTTGTACAATTCAAAAGAAGTTACGGACTGGCCTTTTCGTTCCTTTCTCAAAAGTTAATCTGTAATCATGTGTCATTATACTGGGGTATGACAGATGGGAGGTACGTGGATAAAAGCAACAAAGAACTGTTAACATGAAAAAGAAATCTCTGATAGAAGTAAAGTCAATTGTACAATTCCGACTGTATCATGAGGGTGTGTTTATGAATCACTCTCGAATAATCATGACAAGAGATGTCATGACCTACTGATGGCCCCCGTCATAAACAAATGCAAAGGCTCGTCAAATGTGTACCAGCAAAGAACATACGGGAACGTATGGTACAGTTGAAAGTTGGGATTTGCATCGGACATGATTATCTTACTGATGTGTCAAATTTGGAAATGTCAGTATGAAACTTTTGAAAGGTTCATCGAGGTCTTGAATGTTCTAAACTTGATCAAACTAGGTCCGAGCAAGCTGCAATCTGGATGCAAAAAGCATGCTCTATTTACCTCAAAGGTCTCCCAACGTACAACAGCAAAAGTTGGAGCTGTTGGAATATTGCTCGACATAAAAATATTGTTTGAAAAGATTGGCATGTTGACGTCAACCAGGTTATCATACAGACTTGTGGAGAGTCACTCCCTGCGTTATACATAGATCTAACTGTGAAAGACATGAAGAGATCGCACAACAAATAAACTAAAGGTCAAAATCGCAGTGGATCACATTTCAATCCCTGAACAGAGAAGTCGTCAGTAACCATCGGTTATGAAATAATATTGTCAAAGTGTTTTTTATTAGAAAACATGCATTATTTGTTTAAGGATTTGTTGAAGGTCTTTTGGAACATATTTGAAAAGGACAGCGTAGGCCGAATATTTAGAATGTTAAAATGTCAACGCCAGGCAAAGAACGTTGTTGAGATCTGGATCTCGTGTCATGCTATCGGGATGTGTCATTCAAAATATATGCGTCGAGTTGCAAAGACCACTTGTTAGATACTGGTCATCTGAAACCATTTAATCAGAAAACATACATCTTAAAGGACATCTTAAACTTCTGATCATTTGTAATAATTTCGTCTCGATGTTGATTCTTTTCTCTGTGAGAACTTGTAAGAATCTACCTCGAAAAATAGCTAAATACAATCACCAGTTGTTTTACCGTATTCGTTTACCTGCAGACTACCTTTAGAACAGTAGAGCGTGAGCCAACACGGAAACCGGTCATCATGGCAAAGACCAATAAATGCATTGACGTTCTCGTGGCGCAAATCTTTCATCTGAAGCGGTACACAAACACATTCAATACAACTTAAATACCTTTATACACATTCCAGTAGTCATTGTGGACATTGGACATATGAAATAGCGGTGTCAGAATATGCTTTATGGAGCGTGTTATGTCCAAACGCTATTATTGGTAATGTTATCTCTGTTTTGGAACATGTGGCTTGTCATAATAGCTCCCTGTGGAATCGATGGTCAGCTTAATTGATTTCTCTGAAATCCCGGTTTACCTTAATCAGTCTTCATGAGATCGTAGTCTTTTCTGTAACGACGAAAACGTCATAGCTTTGTTCGAAGCTATCTATTTAGAAATCATAATGACACGCATTGACATCTAAAAACCTCATTTCCTGTTTCATCAATTATCTCTCTACGAAAATTCTCATCAAAACTACCCATTTACCATATTAACAACAATTGGGAACATATGATTAAGTATTGGCGTACGTGTGTGTGAGTCTACTTGATGTTCTTCATCACAAGTTTTCGTTGTAGCGTAATGGTTTTTTGTGCAACAATTACTTACAGCTTTGAGTTCAAGCATGTCTTGTCTTGACATCGTTGAGACGTTGATTGGGTACTCTATCTTCCTGATCGCCATTGTGTTGCCTTTATAATGCCCGATCGTTGAGAATATTTGACCTTCACCTATCCCTCCCGTTTCCAGCTTCTGGGAGGATGTATTAGTGTTGATGCTTATCTGAAACAGTTGGGTACATTCACACATATATTAGCCCATCGTTTTACCCCATGGCAAACATCACTGGAGCCACGCTCCGATGTAGAGTCATGTGTATATCTTATTACATGCACAAAACTAAAATCTTCTCCACAAAATTTGGATGCCTTAGGCACAGAACATTTGAAGTTTCGCTCATTGAAACGACACAATTCTACACTTTATAAAGCCTTATAAAGATTTAGTTGTTTAGATTTAGATGTAGTAGATGCAAAATGACGACTTAACTGTCTGTAGGCAATGTCCCTGTGCTAACGTAAGTTGTCATAAAATGGTATTGTCTCGTACACGTATGGTGATCCTAACAGACACATACACTTACGAACACCAAGAATCTGCTGACAAGATCATTTCTTTGAGTGGCATATAAGAAGTTGGGAAGTACAATATTGACAAACTTTATGCAAAGCACCTTCTTTTATTCCTTGAGTGCGACCTTTGTACAAGCGTACAAGAATCAAAACGTCGCAGTAATAAATCGAAATAGAAGAAATTTGCCTCCAAAACGTTTGTCAATATTGACAAGATAACATGTGCCGTTTTTCAAGAATCTATATCGAAATGTACAACGGTACAAGAATCGAAACGTCGCAAAATTAGAAATAAAAGAAATTGGAATCCAATCAGTTTGTCAATGTCAACATGATCACATGTGCCGTTTTACAAGAATCAATATCGAAATGTCGCACTCACGAAATAAATAAATTGTCAATCATAAAGTGTGTTAATATTGACATAATCACGTTTCACAAAAACATATCCGTTGAAATAGTCTCCTTGCAATAAAACCCCCCAGAACAGCTAAAAAGCCCTCCACTATGATTTCTGCACTATGTAGAAGCGGAAAACCAATATTGACTACATGTTACTTACTGTACTTATACTGCCCAACAGGCGAGTCTTGCTGAAAGTAATGTCATCATATGGAATCACCCACAGTCGTTGTTGTAACTCGCGTTCAAGACTTGAGCGTCTGTCATCGTGTACAAAAAACATTAATCAGAGAGCATCATCTTTCGTCAGTTGCATGTACTGAAACAATTTATTCACCTTGATTTGTTTGTTGTCATTTCTATTTCCGTAAAGCAACAGAGTGGATGTATCAGTTTCCATGTATTAATTGGGTAACAGATATGCATTAACTTCAAAGAATGACGTATGGTACGAGCCAGTTATTGCCCAATGGAACAGTTGAAATGGACATGTTATTTGAACATTATTAGCCATTTTCATGTGGCTGATATCTACGCCTGTTGTGCTCTTAGAACGTAATATTATGAATTATAACTTAATAAAATGAATTCATCTCCTCATGTAAAATAATTAATAAATCTCAAATGCTCACGAAGTTGCCCTTCATGACAAACTCAGAAACGTTTTACCTTCGCAGTCGCGTTAGCTACTTTACCTGAGTATTATAACTGCTACGATAACGGCCACGATGATGACTGAAACCACTAATACTGATACAGTTATTATGATGTCCCGACCTGGAAGGCAGAGAACAACAAAACATCACTGACCATTATAACAAGAGTGATCAGAACATGACAAATCCCCCGCCCCGCATATTTCAAAGTGAGTGAGTGAGTGAGTTTAGTTTAACGTCGCACTCAGCAATATTCCAGCTATATGGCGGCTGTCTGTAAATAATTGAGTCTGGACCAGATAATCCAGTGATCAACAGCATGAGCATCGATCTGCGCAATTGGGCACCGATGACATGTGTCAACCAAGCGAGCGAGCCTGACCACCCGATCCCGTTAGTCGCCTCTTACGACAACCATGGGTTACTGAAGGTTCATTCTAACCCGGACCTTCACAGGTTCATATTTGAAAGAATATATCATCTGACAGTTACTTAGAGTTTAATTTTTAGACTAAGTCCAAATCGTTTCCAAGGAAATCATGAAAAATATACACGCCAAAAATCTGTAAATAGCAAAAGGCATCACTTCAAGATCTGTCTCATATATCTGCTAGGTTCTCTTGAACCATATTGAACGTTTTTCAAGTTCTGCTCCGGAAACGAAGCGCAACCCTCCCTTTTGAGACAAAGTCCAAACTCTTTCCCAAATGGAAACCGAGAAAAATAAAAATGACAAAAAATCTTAAAATAGCAAAGGCGCAACTTTGGATTCAGTTTGATATATCTACCAATTTTTGTTGGACGGACGGAAGGACTAGGTGTCTAGGTGTCGACTAGGTGTCGACTATATCCCGCCGTATTACATGCTGGGGAGATACAAATCTAATTGTTCCTTTTTGTGTTCAGTTATATGGACGTACCTTTGAACAACATGAAATGCCACTCCGGCCGGCGTCAAGGTACATAACTGTTTTGATGCATGCAAATGAAACCATGAGTCTAACCTGATCCGTCTTCTTGTCGACACAGCTCCTCGAAGAAACCACACGCAGGGGCATCTGTGGGAGGTTTGCCGTTGCTTGTTCCCCACACGATGTCCTGGATTACGTTTATTTTCTGTAACATAACAACATCCTTGATCATCGCATTGACAGCAACATTTATTATCATCCAAAACTGTGTTCCACAGGAGATATCGCTTGTGTGAGATCATATGATATCTCCGAGGGCATATCGTTTTGACAGTAGATTTTGTACAATGCCCTGGCAATGATATGACGTCATCAACTTGATGACGTCACAATGCTATGACATCGCTGAACTGCAAGTCTAATGGTAGTACGGTGTTGAGAGATGTACATTTGACATTGAAAATTAATGAAGAATGATTTTTGATGATAAATAGAACCTCACCCTCGTGTCTACAGCGACATTTATTGTAACATATGACACAGAATTTATTACAAATTTAGTGGGTAAGTCCCATACGGTATTTGATCATACCGTCGGAGTAAGCCACATGACTGTCAGGAGACAAAGTCAGCGATCTAACCCACTCGGCCACCGAATTAATCTGAACTTTACTGAAAGAGTGTAATAAAAATACAATACGTTATATTTTTCACCAGTTTTTTAATGTCATTGTTTCATAGAGAACATATTACCGGTGCAAAACTATGCAATGTAATTTGACAGGACGCACCTGGTCATCCGTGGTGGTCAGTCTGGCCTCCATAGCCACCCTGAATTGTTGCCCTCCTGGCTGTAAGTCCCACACCCAGTAATCCGGCTCCCGGTCACCGTTGTTGTCCACCTGCACTGTTCCTGTAATGCCTGTTGGATGACAGCAATGAAATAACTATTCACATTAAAGATGTGTTATTGTTCATTTATGTCAATACTAGACATCAAGCTGCCTTTTCGGGTCCGTCAAACCTATATAATGTGGTGAAAAGGTAAGATCAATTAAATATCCCCTTGCACCACATTCAGGTGCGTATTCGCTTCAGCGAATGCAGTTTTGACGGACTCGAAAAGGTACCTGGATGTCTTGGATTGAAATAAATGCTGGACAAACAATAGTTTTCCTTCAGCGAGCATTGATATATAAATTTATATCACAGGGAATCCATTATAATCTGCATACCTGGTCACAAACATTTGTTTCAGACAGCATACAGTCCAGTGTTTGGTCACCATCTTTACAACTGAACTACATATCACCAATTAGAACACGGGCTCCTTCAAAATCTATACATACATGTGACGCTGAACTGTCATTTTGCATTCACCACCTTTCGTCATATAGTTTTTTTATAAAACATTAGTCCGGACCATTTGCTTCATCCTTTATGGTGTTATGGTGTTCACCAACTATACCAGGATGACGTGCATCTAAGACATCACCGTATCAAACGAGAAAAGCCTTTAAAAAGGCTTTCGCGGCACCTGAGTAAATTAAGAAATTTAGTGAGAACAACGTGAAATGATGTGGGGGTAAACCTGATTTCAAGAGCATCAAGATGACCATACCTCAGTCTGTTAGAGACTTGCCTCTATTAGAGATCGGTACCCGCATCGCAAATACGGTACTCTCAGCTCCAGTATATGACATTTCATACCAAAGGTCTTTGTCATGTCTAACCATGTCTGGAAATGAAGTACTAGTGACGGACGGAGGAACACGCCCGTCGATTCTAGGAAACCAGTCGACCCTTCATTAAATTCCAAGAAAAGCTAATTGTTGCGACTAAAACGGAATGGATTCTGCAATTTGATATTATGCACTGAACATGTGCAAGCATGCTTTATTACGTGTAAAATTGTTTTGAGTGTATCAGTTTATTAGCATTTTTGATCAGTAAAAATAGTGTTTAAATTAGAGATTTATAGAAAACTCGATTTCCGCATTAACTATGAAGTAAAGCGGGACAATTATTTCGAATTAACCACATGGTCACGTGGTTCCTAATTTGCTTCAGCTATGTTCATTGGCCATTTGGAACTGCCAAAATACAAAGAGACAAAGTAGCATTGGCTAAAAGTTCATTTTGAATACTCCAAATGTACATGTATTTTGTAGAAAGACATTTTACCTTAGACACAAATTCAGCCTGATTAAAAGGTCGGAGCCTTTTGCGCCTTAAACCAACAGGTTCCAGCCATCACACAGCTTTGCATAAAACAACGCAACATTGGTTACACTTTACCGTGGAATGATTTCCCTTTGGCTTTGTTAAATATGAGCGTTCCGTTCCGATGATCTGCTCCCTCGGTAACAGCTTCATGCAGCACCAGCAGGTACAGGTATACGACATCGTGGAGGAACGGGGAGTAGTCAGAACCCTGATGGACATATCAGATGGTAAAGTTGAGTGAGTGAGTGAGTGAGTGTAGTTTAACACGCTTTTTGCAATTTTCCACTAACATCACGGCGAGGAACACTAGAAAAGGCTTCACACATTGTACCTATGTGGGGATCGAACAAGGGTCTTTGACGTGACGAGCGAATGCTTTAACCACCAGGGCTCCCCACTACGCTCTGTGGGCGATATGATACACATATAACTTTTTGCTTTTGTTTGTTCGTTGTTTAGCGCAGCAATCCGGTATTTTCCACGTATTCAGACTACGATCTGGAAATAATTGAGTCTTGCCCAGACAATTCGGTGATTGAGCATCATGTTCATCATGAGCATCGACCTCCGCGTTTGGGACACGATGACATGAATCATCCAAGTCAGCAAGCCTAACCAACCGATTACCTTCATCGTCTTTTATGACAAGCATGGTTGCCGAAGACCAGCTCTAACACAGATCTTCACTTGTTAGACATTTCCCCACGGAAAGGTATCAAAAGTAACATCGAGGTGGTTGGCAGTATCATGAGGACGTTCAAGTCTCCTCTTAGCAAATAAACGTCTGTAATGAATTAAATACTAAATTGTAAAGTAATGTTCAGAGACAGAGCAGGACAAAAGACTATACAGCCCGTACTGGTTAGACGGCTTCTGTTACTCTTAGTTGTTTTAACATAGTTTGTTACTCTTAAGACTCCATACCTTGATGCCATTAAGAAGGGTGTAGTTGTAGTACCATGGTGCCTCAGCCATCTTTACAGACACTAAATCCCGGAATGCCTGGACTTCGGCACCCGCCAACTCAGACACTGTAATCTGAAGAAAAGGTAAATTTAAACTTACCAGATTTTTTAATCGTAGCATTTTTGTCATTCTAAATTCTGGCTTCATCTTTAATTTATAATGTCCTCGTCACGATATGGCTGAAATAATGCTGATGTGACGATAAATATTAACTCACTCACTCACTGACGAAAAGACGAAATAAGTATATAAATATGTTCATTGTTATATGTGCAAATTATGATCCCCAACATTCGTGACATAAATTCATATAAATATATTAGTCGTATCAATGCGTGAACTGTTACACTACTTCTCAGAAACAATCATATAAATGCAGCTCTTGCAACACGTTCCAGCATCGGTAAAGTATTATTGTAAGGCTAAGCTATATAGCTTGACAAAGGTGGATGTGGTTATTGAGTACAAATCTTCACGTGGAGACGTTGGAGTTGGTTGTGATGTTGTGACTGAAATGAAATTAGATAATAATACTATTTACCAAAACTTTTCATATAATTACAAAATCTAACCAATCGGCAGTAGTGTTTACTTCAATTTCAAATAACCTTTTCTATATCAAGAAACACCTGCGATGGGCTAAGGCATATGACATTACAATAAAATAATTACAAATGTATTGAACAATTGTTACAGTTTTATAATATTACACTAATTCCATTATGATGACATCAATACTGACACTATAGTAGGTGCAGTTGACCGCACTGTTACATAATTTTAACACTAACACCATTGGTGTATGGACAGATATTTATGTGAATGTCATTGTGCAAATTCCATGTACACATGTCTGCGTGGACCGGAACACAAATGCACTCTGGGGCTTCTGTCTCATTTGGAAGCAATTACCGATCTGGTAACTAGCAGTTTCTGAAGACCATTACCTTAATTGTTGTTCTGTGTAACAGAACAATGGTGTACGGATCATTAACGCAGATGGCGATAAAGCAAGGTACTCCATATCGATCAAGTTGCAACAAAATGCTCTAGAAATACTTATGTCCCCGATTTAATATATTTCTTTGAACCATTTTCAAAACAGCAAACAATGTCCAAATGAATGCTTTCATCATAGTTACAAGAAACTTTATAGTTTCTAACTTTTAATCTATCTCACCTACGATTATCAAACATGTTGCTTTGTTTTCCTGCTACAAAACATTTTGAGCTGTTATAAAATACTAAGAAATACCTATCACGGAGATCGATCTGCAGCCCCATATATCTTCACATAGGTCAGCTGACTATAACGGTGAACAAGTGGATCATGAGTGATGTGGAAACAGACATCTGGAACTTGATTCTCAGACAGGCAATCAATTGGGGAAACAATAGAAACGATTTTGGGACGTTAAATTCCATATGTCAAATCTTTTGCAAAGTAAAACAGAGACAACACTCATGCCCAAATCATAAGAAACTCCCATTGCACGATTATGATTTCAAACATGTGTTTATGAATGACGTTTTGATTTGTGATCGATGAATCTTTTCGTTCGTGTTTTGAACATCAGCGATGCTGTTGGTGTCACAAAGGGTCAAAGGAACTATCAGTAACACAGATTATGATTTGAGAGTTGGCTTTCACCTATTATACATTGTGCTGACAAAGGCAACAGAGTGTAAGGACGACTGAGCTTTCCGCGCAAAGGCTTGAATTAGAACATACAGACCGAACACAACGATGACAAAGTAAAATGAGACACTTTTAGAAGGGGTTGAGGTGCTGTCAAGATAAAGGGACACTTTGTTCTAAATGCCGTTTCTCAAGGTATTATCGTCATTATCCTATAGACCATTTGATTTGTGCGTTGTAAGTAACAGCCACGTCTGATAAACTTTCAACAACGCCCATCAGCGTCGACTTCGTAGATAGAAGACTGAATTGATGATAATGCTTGAACCAGGATTTACCTGGAAGACGGAGGTGAACGCTGCTTTGGCCTCTTCATCAAGCTCGTCTCCCTTAACCCACGGTGTCTGCACATTGGGTGGTGGCAGATGCTCCGGGAGGAAGAATACATACGTTCCATCCATCATTCCTTCACGTGCTGCGTGTATTAGGATTGTCCGTCGATCTGCTGTGTTTTCAGTACAGAGTATTACAACTGAAATAAATAGGTAACGCTAAAGGGTGTTCTGGAGCAGAGCAGAGTTTTGTCACTTAACGATCAGGCATCCCTGGTCGTGTGTTCGAGTCTGCAACCCACATGCATTGTATACCTTGGGCTGTCAAAGGTGAAGTGGAAAGATGTACAATATTTAATGTCCATCATATACAAGCTAAATAACTGACATGTTCTTGAAAGCTTTTTTAAACTCAACAATCAAACTTCGCAACAACGGCTATGTTCATCACCTATTAAACCAAATTAAATGATGGTCTAAGTGGAGTTAAAACCAGAACCATGTTCTAGTGTAAATACCATTTTCATAAAGTTATCAAAACCGTTACGAACAGTCGTAAGCTGGGTGTTCAGTGGTTTGGTGGTATCGAGGAAATAAGCTTGACTGTTTCAGCTAAGAAAGAACCCATAAAATTTGACTTGCGCCCCTTGGTCACGTCAGAAACCTATGACCGTTGGTTCGGTTCTCGGGAATATGTTGCTAGGGTTCTAAACGCCATACGCATGCTCGTTTTTATCATAATAGTAGTAAACCTGCATCACTTCCTACTCATGACACACCGTGATATCATTGTGACATAATTAATTGACATACTCCATATAATGTACGGTTCGATCCCCTGCCGCGTCATATCAAAAGACGTTAAATATGGTATTTGTTGGTCTCTGCCTGACGCTCGGCATTAATGGGTACAACAAGGACTGGCCGGCTCGAAGTCAGTATAATGTGTCTGAGAGGGGTATTCATGCTTAACTGCTGCATGGTATCTCAGTGAGCTAGCACTATAAAACCAGCTTAAGTCTGGGCTAGTACAAGCAGCCACACATACACATACACACGCATGCACGTCGTCATATGAGCGAAATATTCTTAAGTGAGACGTTAAACCCATTTCACCGCACCTCACCAAACAGTGTACAACCATTACAAACAAAACAAGATACATACTTCTTCCTCGTTGCTTGATTTTCAACAAGATGTCGTCGATATCACTTCGACTAATGCCATCGTCAATGACGATCCAATCAGCAACTGTGATATTACTTGCCCTGAAAATCCCATCCGCCGCGCGAGACGAATAGTCACAAAACACCTTTTTGTTGTCTGTTCTACGTCTGGATATGATGACAACACGAGTCCAGTGATAAAAGTTAAATATCTCAACAAAAGCCCTGCCCATTTTGTTGAAAGGTGGTCCAAGTCTTACTAATGTCTTGTACACTGTCTTGTCACCAAGCATTGGGTCACTGGATGCTTGACTGAACATTGGAAGATTCCAAAATGAGGCTAAGAGACCGGAGGGCTGTGTTGCTGAAATGCCAATATTCATTAGACAGTAACATATATGTCACAGTTTCAACATTTATATGATTATGGTTATCCAGCATTACCGATGTCTTAACTGTCGGAGAGTAAAATATTAATATGAAATATTGATTCTTTGTGAAGTCAGTGTCTTTTGCGTTTATATAGTTTGAGCCATACGTGTGATCATTACAAGTCTTGGTGAACTAGCTGACCACGTGTCACCCCAACTAGCCAGCATATGACTTTCTCGTATTACGCACTTTTTGTAGTTTGTCTGAGTCAGAAAACAACATTCTCTTACTCATTGCACGATACCAAGGTTTTTCAGCTAAATAGGCTTTGAAGAATGAGCTGCATCTTTAGCTTTTCTGGACCAAAGGTCAAAATATGTTTATACCATTGTCCGTCACGTGACCGCTAAGTGTTCAACCGTATCCTCGTATTTACAGTCTATTAAAAACTGGAGACATTTCAATAAAAAGGTGTTCCAAATACTAATATTTAATATCTATCTTTACTGCAAGAAATTGTTTAACAGTGCAAAAGGAACATATGCCTGAGGTTTGCATCAGTCGTTAGACGTCACATGACCATAGATTTTGCAAGATGATTGGCCAAAGCGTCCTTCTGTCCATCACAGGATTTATCATGAAAAACGCTTGCACTAAATTCGCGCTTGCTCTAAATTCACAAGTTGTGGATGGAATGATCATTGCTGAAGCTATATACAATCAAACAACTTGGTTCCCAATTAATATCACACAATAATGGAATATCCCCTTTTGGAATAGTATATGAGATCACCACGAATTCAGTCGCAAAGAATCACGAAGAATGAGGCATGGTCTATTTCACACAAAAACATTGTCATGATGTCATTTCCGTTGATTCGAAGTTCACTTAAATAATGTTTCCTCATTAACTACGTGCGTGTCCATGTTTCCTGACAAAGATATAATGGCACCGGTAATGTGGAATATCAGGTTATGCAATTTGTTCAAAGACAAGGTGTCCTCGGGGCTTTGTCTTCATGTCGATAGAAAAGTAGCTTCCTCCTTAGCATCTGAGCATTTGTCATGGCAAGGACATTGGATGACGAGTTGTACGCATAAGAAACAGATTGTTTCAATAAGGCGCTCCGTCCATTTTACGGAGGAGATATGGTGAAATAATTATATTTCAACGTTCTTCTGTTCATCACAGCTAAACAGTTCTAAAAGAAGTTATTTAGGGGTTTACGTCGCTTTTAGCAATACCATCACGGCGAGGAAGAACAGAAATGGACTTCACAAATTGTACCCATGTGGGGAGTTGAACCCGGACAGAACGCTTTACCTACAGTAACTAAGCTACCCCACTGCCCTTGTAAGACTAGCAACCGTGAAGGTATCAACATCTTCTACTGGTTGAGATGTTCTCGAATTAAGATCAAGAAAAAAAGTTTGGTGTTGGTAGTTTTTACTGGAACAGGTTCATTTCAAATGTTACTATTTTACCGACAGATTACTTCTGGGCGTTATGACGCGGACGATATTCATGAAGAGCAGTCAGAATATAATTAACCTACAACTCATGCACAGTATTTGAAAAGAAGGCCAAATGATGTCGCTTTCGTTTCATGTAAATCTATTTTTCCAAAACATTCAATTATTTTCTTGTAATTTCCTGTTTTAGAACTAAATTACCGAAAAATACTGAAACATTCTAGAAAATGATTGAATGCTAATAATAGAACCAAAAAGTTACTGAAATGACGAGGAAATCATTGAAATGACAAAACATTATCGAAGCAACACGAAACTACATGAACTTTTTGCTTTTTGAAAGAAACTTAAAATAACAAGAAAAAACTGAAATTACGAATGATTCGAATATATTCCAAATAACAAAAAATATCTAAAATTTCGAAACATAAATTTCGCTGGAAAAATACTTTGAGCCACAAACGTTAGGCTTTCGTATATTTTCTAATGCTTCCAATGTTTTTCGATTGTTCTCAGAAAGGAACTAGATTTTTTGCAGAATGCTGTTCATGTACATGTATGTTCTAGGTTAATTGCAAAAACTTGATATATTGCATCCTGAAAACACTTCCCTACATCAGCATATTTTTAGGCTACTATAACCAATCTCTGGTTTAACATATTATGTTTTCTGGTTGCATTTTTGTGTACTATCCACCAAAGGGCGGTTTCAGTAGGGATGTAGAAACGGGTTCCGTCCGTCCATCAGTTATGTTTTCTTTAACGTATAATTCCTCAAAAGTACTCAAAGGGTACCCAGAAATATTCAGGAATGATGTTTAACATCTTAAAATTGCCTTATGTCCTTTATGAATACGTGTTTATCTACATTATTTTTCGATTTTGTTCTAAATAGATATTATCATTCATTATGTTACTTGTTCCCAAGGCAACACAAATGAGAACGCACAAACCGTTCATTATTATTTATGCAACTTATAATGTAGTCAGTGTAGTTATGCCAGAAATATATACCTTTTATTTGATGTATACATCTCTTCAAATCCTACTCACACTCTTCTCAGATAAAATATCTTCAAGTAGTACCAATATAACCCAGCAACATTTTAAGTACTACCTATACGCCTGAGCTACAGATCTTCAAGTACTACCAATACTCCTCAGCCACATATATTCAAGTACTACCAATACGCCTCAACTTCTCTTGACGTAGCAGCCATACTATCAGCCACTTTCATTCAAGCACAAACCACACTCAGTTGGTATCCACATCTCTTCAAGTACAAGCCATACATCACATCAAATATTCTCATATATCCCTGTGGGGATCCAGTCCAGTCCAAAGCTGTTTTCGTCAAACATTTTTTTTGTATAACACCCAAAGCAATCTGAGCGTTAAATCAATATTTATGTTAAAGAAAAGAACATGTTTGCATTGATAAATATATACACAAAGACAAAATATCGCAACACAAAAAATGTATAAGCTGTCAAGAGATCTATTTTCCATAAATAAGTATAGGTGATCTTGATTTGATATTTATGGCATATCCTGTCCTCCATACTAGTCATGATAAAATGCATGTTTAGCACGTGTCCTATCTATGGCACAAGGAAAGCATGTACCCCGTCCACCGTGAAAATCATAGGAAATTTGTCACTGTATTGAGTAAAGCTTACAAGTCATTGGTTCATCTGTCCTCCATAACTCAGTACAGCAGAAAGATGGCACGTTATTGGCTTGAGGAATGCCGGTATGTCAATGAGGTAAATTGCAAGGGATCTGGGTCGCCATCCTTAAACAATAAGTCGTTTGTTAAGTAAGCATCAGCAGACAAATGACGTCGGGGGCCGTCTGCGTCCAGGTAGACCTCGCTGTACTTTGGAAAGAAATGATGCATCTCTTTTAAGACTTGTACGACGCTATCCTTTTGCACCAAGCACTGTTCTGAAAAGGGGGTGGTTACCTCATCGCCGCATATGCCCCAGACCCGACTGTAATCGTCTTAAAACTACTGGATATCGTGCCTGAAGACCCCTGTTGTCACGTGACCGCAAAAAACCCATTGAGCATATTTGGGACATTCTGGGGCGTAAAATCTGTCAGAGTGAACCACCAGTGCAGACGGTTGATGAATTGGAGCAGGCACTACACCAGGGATTGAACAATCTTGCACAAGAACAATCGTATCAGACGACTCATTAGGTCAATGGGGAGGGGGTTGAACAGGTGATTCAAGCTGGAGGAGGTTACTCCAGATACTGACATTTTTATTTGTTGCAAAATCTATGAACTTCATGATGGTGACATGAAAGGAAATAGACTTGGGAATTATGATAGACCTGTTACAGCCATAGTTCTTTGGACTCGAAATTCTCCATTTTTGGCCATTTTTGTAAATCAGCATAAACACATTATGATCTTTTCCAAAACTTTCATTTCTCTTTGTGTCAATATTTGCTATACAAAGAACAGCGAGAAACAATGACAAAGCATTTGTTTACACACGCAATATAGAGAACACATCGAATCAAACATCAGCAATATATTCAAATATGGCTGTTTCTATACTTTTCTCTTTGTGTATATTAACACTATCTAGCTGGATCAGTGATTTTGTATGTGACTGTATTTTAACTCAAGTACAGACGACTGTCATACATACAGCTCGAGCATGGAGGTCCTATGAAGACATCAACGTCATCTTCATCCCTCAACAGCACGGTGTTGCCTGACCCCTTTAGTGCGCTACAGTCATCGTCCCTCCACCTTACGCTGACAACAGAGGAACAACGGAGTTATTATATTAGTGTCATCTGAGGTTAGAAAGTTCAAATACAACGTCGCACGGGCATCATTTCGGCCATGTTGCGACGGGAATAAGTCTTAACATCTACAAGCACAAATATAAATATCAAAATGCATGTCAAACATATTTAAGAAACATACAACTTTTCATTAAATGCGATAAAATCTGGAAAACTCTGCGAAATATTGAGACTTTAAACATGGACTAAAAGCCACAAGAAGAGCCAAACCTAGGCCACCTCGTTAGTTCATATGAAACTTGATATGACGGTAAAGTAACTCAGGAACGCGTCAATTACTTTGCGTAAAGTAATTCAAGGACCTAGGGGGAAAAAGTGTTCGCGATAAAGTAAATCAGGAACTTTGTACGTTCATTAAACAGCTTAAAGTAATACCAGACCGAGGTGCTAGAAATAACCGATTAATACATTTATTACTCGTGGTTAAGTAATTCATAAACCGAGACGCATGTGAAGTAATTCAGGAGCCAGAAAATGTTATTAACAAGAAAAGCCTTTAAAAAGGCAAGGTTGGAGGCACCTGAGTAAATTAAGAAATTTAGTGAGAACAACGTGAGATGATTTTGGGGGGCGAGTGAAGCTGACTTGAAGAGCATCGCGATGACCATACCTCGGTCTGTTAGAGATCGGTAATTGCATCTCAAATACGGTACTCTCATCTCCAGTACATGACATTTTGTTAATATCAAGAAAACATATCGCCACCATCAAAGGTAGACACCCATTTCCTCACAGGATTGTTCTCTCAGATTACCAACCTCATATTTAATAACTACTCACGTAAAACATATTACGGAGTGATCCAGTCTAAGTAAACTTAGGCTCAGTATTATTCGTTACACTGCTATACAAAACAAAACCTTGTAGAAGGTCGCGTCAGCTGACCTTTGAGCGACCTATGGCCGTCCAATCAAACGCGAGACGGCCGAACGGATTTAACCAATCAAAAAACGACTGCTTGTTAGTAGGGGTGACTATTGCGGGAAAAGCAACTATTGCGATAGCGATAGTCTATTGTGACCATCTATTGTAATACTATTGAAATAGTTTTCTCTCTCCTTGAATTGTCTCATTTGAAGTCATTTCCCAAATGAATGTATAGTTTATATGAAATAAAAACAAGTTGAAGTAGTTTCAGTATGTTTTACTAACTGACAAGAAACGTGAAATCCAGATCAAGTTTGTTTAAGAGGTAATAGGGGTGGATAACTCTAAATCATAGTGAACGAATCTAGTACTTCCTGTATTTTCCGCTGCACATTTATCAACGGAAGTCAATTACTAAACTATCGATAGTCAAACATACTATCGATGCATCAATAGTTTTTCGTCTCTACCATCGATTAATTGCTATCGGAGACTCAACAATTGCAGTTCATCGATAGTTCGATGCATCGTTACAGCCCTACTTGTTAGGGTACGGCGTGACTTCAAAACGGTTTTTGAATTTTCTCTTCCCTGGTCGCTGACACTGATCTATCGACAAACGAAACTCCGCATAAAACACATATATTTGACCTGCAGTATATACGCTTATGGGTTACTACCGGTGTTTACTTATATTTTCGCAAGATGACATCCTTGAATATTGACAAAAATGCTATTTTCAGCGATTGTTTACTCATTGCGTGTATCACTCTGATTGGTCAGTCCAAAAGGTTAGCTGACGCGACCTCTACAAGGTTTTGTTAGACTCAGTATAGCAGTGTAATATACTTTTAGGGATCATTTCTATAGTATGCATCGCCATGACTTCAGGTAACACTGACAGTCTACCAAACCACGAGGACGATACTGAGCCTACGTTTACTTAGACTGTGAAGGAACAAGAATAAGCAGAAATTAAAGAGAAATGTCATACCTAATGTATTGCCTAATTTTACTATTAAACTGTTTTGCTTTTCTGACGTCGTTTTTGTTAGAATTTTCGTAATATTTATTCTACAAAAAAAAACACTTCTGGCGTAGTGTGCGAATGAAGCAGGGGAGGTAACTCCGCAAGTATTCCCATATGGCGGACATGTGAGTCAACAAGTATGTTTAGATTTAAGTCCCCCTGTTCCTTCACTCCGTTGAACCTGAAGCTGGTAGGGGTAATGGAGGCGAAGAACGGTTTGATATAGCACGAGCGGCGCTTAAAATGTTGAATTAAATATGTTTTACGTGAGTAATTATTAAATATGGGGTTGGAAATCTGAGAGAACAACCCTGTGAGGAAATGGGTGTCTACCTTTGATGGTATTTTAGATTTAATTACTAGTTTTAGTGTATATATCTGTGATAGTCTAGTTGGTTTTACTGTCGTTCGTCGGCAGGTTTTTATAATTTATAATGTATTTACGGTAAATTCACAACTCGTTTATAGTCACGATATAGCTGAAATATTGCCGATGGGACTTAAAATCTTAACTCACTCACTCACTCACTACCTTTGATGCTGGCGGTATTTTATTTTGATATTAAAAATATTTTTCGAACCGAAGCGAGGGAAGCACGTTGCCAACCTTTGCTCGCTTAGCTCGCATACAGGAAGACTGGTCATTTACTCATTTACCCTATTTTCGCTAGAGTTTACCAGTGGTCAAACCATGTCTGGAAATGAAGTACTAGGACGGAGGAAACATGGCCCAATATATTGCTTCTATTTTATGGCGTATGGTAACGAGCCGTCAAATGATTACATATCCCCCGGCCCCCAATTGTTTGCAAACGTCATGTGAATCCTACCCCTTCAAAGAAATTCACCAACCCCTGGCTTTAAGCGCGCGTGGGTTCGCACAGTGATTACTCGCGGGACTGTTACTGAACACGCCTCTAGAACCGATTCTAGGAAACGGCCCTTCGCTAAATTCCGGGAAAAGCTAATGGGTGCTTCTAAAATGGAAAGGATGTTCCGATTCTGAAGTTCGAAATTATGCACTGAACTAGTACAAGTATACTCTATTACTTGTAATGTTGTTTTGAATTGAAGGTGTATCAGTTTATTAAAGTTTCTGATGAGGACAAACACAGAATGTGTTTATATTAGAGTTTTATAGAAAGCCCGATTTCCGCATTAACCAAGAAGTAAAGCGGGACACCTATTTCGGATTACCCATATGGTCCTAATTTGCTACAGCTATGTTCATTGGTCGTTTGGAATTGCCAAAATACAAAGAGACTCAGTATCATTGGCGGAAGGTTCGTTTTTAATAATCCAAGAGTATATTATACATAGAAATTTTACCTGAAAGACAAATTCAGGCTGATTATAAGGTTAGAGGCGTTTACGTCTCCAACCAGTAAGGAACCTAGCTTTACGTACATTACAGTACTTTAACATGGAGAAGGACATCATGTCATTCGCGAGCAAAAGCAGTCGTCAAGATATTGATTTCCAGATCCCCTAGATCTGCATAACGAATGTGTAGCTACTTGAGCAATGGGGTTTTGGTGCAGAAACATTGATTAACGAAAACACATAGATGAGACCTTGTCTTGGCCAAACCGCCTTTGTCTCTCATTTCAGCCAAAGTAGTATAATTTAGGAGGATAAAAACAAACCTATTAATTACTTTTTTTAGCGAAATCGAAAATTTAACATGCCCCAAAGGCCCAATCTTAATACTATTTCTATTCAATCTATTCAACACTCGATAACAGGTTCGATATTATATGTTTACTTTAATGTTATCTCGCCCAAGTAACGACATCAGTATTCGATCGTCCTTTTGTCTCATTTGGGCTATGTAGGATTTGAATCAGCGCATCACCTAGTGTCACGAGAGACTTAACAAAACATGTACGACTTGATCGTTTAACACTGTTTTTGCTGGTGTCTATTAACGGATGCATGACTGCCGTGGTAGTTGCAGCCTTACAACGTTACATTCGCATCCTGTCATTGTCTTCCAGATTGCCGATAAGCCAAAACTGAGACCGTGGATGATATGTATATTTCCAGGAATGACGGAAGACCCTTTCTGTTGCTAATGCAGACAATTATTTTTACTTGCAGTGTGAGATCATATTTTGATGTGTACGTCTTCGGATAATATGATTCACACATAGAACATCTTTTGTGTTAATGTTTTGAAGACCGCCTCCGTGGTGTAATGGCGGGAGGTCGCGCGTTCAATCCCCGGCCGCGTCATACCAAAAGACGTTAAAATATGGTACTTGTTGGTCCCTGCCTGACGCTCGGTATTAATGGGTACAACAAGGACTGGTCGGCACGGAGTCAGTATAATGTGTCTGAGTGGTGTATGCATGCTAAACTGCGGCATGGTATCTCAGTGAGCTAACACTATAAAACCAGCTTCAGTCTGGGCTAGTACAAGCAGCCACACATAGACATACACACGTCGTCATATGAGTGAAATATTCTAAGTGCGACGTTACACCCCATTTCACTTCACCTAATATTCTGAACCTTATGGACTGGCGTTAAGTGTCACACATGACTAGTTCATTACTTCGAGGTAATTGGTTTTGAAATAATACGGATAATATCAAACTGATACTAAAGACCTTGGTGTCCATGACAAATGAAATACAGTAATACCACATTTCTGTTTTATAACTTGAGAATTTCGCCAAAGCCACACATCAGTATTATCAAATTTTGAATCATATATATTTTAAACATTTTAATCATTTTCCTCTTGTACTGGATTCCAAAATCAATCTCTATCTTCGGAAGTTCGGTACAAACTGTACAAAATGAAAGTAAATGTCAGGTCAAAGTAATGGGTAAAACAAAATGTGAAACCGTTGATTTCCTACTGTATGTATAATTTAAGGGTACGGCCTTTAGGCATAGAGTAGGCATCGCTATGGGCATCAATTCTTGCCCCAGTGCCTTCCACCTAAATTTATAGCTTCCCTTCCAGCTCAACTGTTTGTTTATGCATGTCAATCAGATAGTGTATCACCAAACCACCACGTTGTGTGTCATAGTGACCTATT